CGCGGTCGATCAAGTCGTCTAGGTCGTCGTCGTCGATTAGGGAAGATGCGAGGATGGGATCTGCTGGTGGCACAGCGTCGTCCCCTCTAGTTGGAAAGGTGTGAGATACGGTTTCCATGTTTTCATATCTGATATAGTTTGGTGTGGATTGGATGGACAGAGATCAGGGTAAGCGTGAGGGTAATGCTTTGGGGGGTCCTGTCGGAATAGTTCCGAGTACATGGCGCTAGTGGGTGTGCACGGATGGAAGGCGCGACCGGTCTATGAGTAGGGCCAGCCTTGACGTGTGCCTCACGTCAGGTATAAGGGTACACAGAGGAAGTTGAGGTTGGAAGACACCAACAGTTAGTATCTGCTACTTTTAACGATCGTAGCTCAAGTAAGCTTTGGTTTGAGATGGTCACCTTGGATTGCACACGACCTATAGTCATATTGCGCCACTTCGATTCATGTGCATACATCGTGCAGCAAATCAATATAAAATGACCCAGGGACGCGGAACTTTCAACCAAGACAGAGAGTTCATCACGGCAAAAGAAGGAACAGGTTGCGTCAATAGTCATGTTATGCTATTGTTCCTATATTTACTATTCGTTCTGCTTCTCCCATACGTATGCATTCAAATCAAATATTGAAATTCAGTATAGCGATCGCTCGGGTCGGACATGAATGTTCAAACATTCCGTGCCATGGACAGGGCGTGAGTCGAATGGGGTGGTCTTGTCGCATGGTAGTAGAATTAAGATTCGACATTTCTAAACGGTGACTGTTAGTATACGAGTTCAACTTTTGCAGCTCAAATACATAAAATCAACATGGCCAGTCTTTAAACAAAAGCTCGGATATGCAAAAAAAACATACATTTGCCGCAGGTGCAAGCACCCTGTGCGCAGCCGCAGTCGGCGCAAGTGCATCCAGAGTTTCCGCAGCCTCCCTTCATTTTGATGAGTCTTTGAAGTGTGATGGTTTGGTGATGTAAAAGAAGATAGTTGTAGATTGGTACTTCGGTCGTTTGCTGGAGGAAAGAGAAACAGTTGGAGGGGCAGAAGCGGGGCGGCCTTTTATCTGCTCATGCCTGACCGATGACCAACTGTTTTCGGCCACGGCCGCTGTGACGCCAATAGCCGCACTTGCCAGAGTCTCCCGCACCCCAACGTGGCCGACTTGCCGACCTGGTTCATTTAGGCGGGTCGGGCCTCGTGGTCAGCTAATCATTGGAGCAGACGTGCTATGTGGGATGATTGGGGTGGCAAATCCAGAGGCCTGGCGAGGCATTGGCGGCGGCACCAAGGACGGCGGGAGGGTGGGGGCGACCCGCACCATCAACTGGCGTGTGGCTTTGGGCGCATAGAACCTCCAGAACAACATGCTGTAAGCTGACCAAAGAAGTGATGAGGCCGGACTGCCAAGTTGTTGGTTTGGTTGAGAGCATGCAAGAGCGGCAGATGATGGATTGTATTCGGGTCACCCTCCGTCATTGTACTCCGGGGGATCGTCTCTCCTCGGATGGATGTCTTCACCCAGTCTCGATGTGCGCAGCGCGCCATGCCACGCAAACGGCACAGTGAACATCTTACGTAGGATTTCTGGTGGCAACCTTGGGCATGGACATTCCATCGCGATTGGATTAGTTACCATAACCTCTTACGTTGCTTCCAAAGATGACTTTTATACCCCACGCCGACGCTCCAAAGACTGATGCTGAGGCGCCTTGGAGAGAGCCAAACGGAATTTAGACCACCCCTCCTTTGTTACCCATGTTTGCGAGATCGATTACTTCTTCTTCCACTTCAGGCTCTGGCAGGCTTTTACCCTTTGTATTCTTGGCGCTCTTTGTGCCACTCTTACTGCCACCAACGCCTCTCTTCCCATCCTTGATGCTACTACTGTCGTCATCATCGTCATCGCCAAACAAAAACCCTTTGCCCTTCATCCGTCGTTTCTCATCAGATGAAAAGGTTGAATGCGCTGTGCCGGAGGCAAAGTTGGAAGACGCCGAGTCTTCGCCCAACATCCATGAAAAGCTTGAAGAAGTGAGGTGTGGCCGTGACCTCGGGGATAGATACGAGGCGAGCTTCGATGGTGGCGACAGTGTGCTGACAGGAGGGGATGCCGGGCGTGAACTAATTGGAGTAGGGTTGCTTGACACGGCTACCAAAGGTGTGGTGGGACGAGGACTTGCCGTGGATGTAGCGGGCTGGACCTTCGGACTCTGCTCGGATCCTGTCGCTGAGGGAGGGGTTGGAGAAGCGAGAGTTGCTGTAGCCTGTGCAGTTGCAGCCTGCTCTGTTGCTTCATCGACAGGCAACGGTATGGATGAATCTTCCAGGTATACTTGTACAAACTGTACCTTTGCAATGGCAAGACTGAGTGCTTCGATGGCCTCTTTGCCTTTTTCATCATCTGCGTTTGCTCTTTGTGCCTCGTCACGTTCGCGGTGATGCTCCCACAACTCACCGATTGCAGCCTCCAGCATCTTGGCCAGGTTCTTGTTTCTACGATCGAGCTCCTCTATTTTACTCATACTCTTGGCAGAATGTATTCCTTCCAGACTTGGCCGCCCATTGGCAGCGATTGTTGGCAGGCCAGGTTTTCGAAACTCCCTTGCACCGGATCGTGGCGTTGCATTGCCCGAACTCACTCCTGACTGATAGGCTTCGACATTCTTCTTTACTTCCCCTACAGCATCGCGTAGAGCCTTTCCCACACCCCATTGGGATCCACGATCTAATACATTTTTGGCAGCACCTTGAATCAATGCCTCTATGCCAGCACCTTGTTGGCTGACAAAGCTTCTTGGCGACCCCAGGCTATTCCGTGTTCGGCTCGAGGCGAACGATGGTGACGGCGAAGCATCGCGAGGACTTGCTATCGTCTCAGACTCGAAAACGGGGGCTTTCTTTCCGTATCTTGTGATGATCTCTACGCCGCCCTGTCGGGTTAGGTGGTCGCGAAGATACAAAGCGTCCTTGATGAAGGTGTAAGGTGGGTTGGCCGGCTCCGGATATCGGAGCAAAAAAGCAAAAGCTTCGTTGGTATCAGCCTTGATCAACTCCCACCGTATGCGTAGTAACATGGAGATGGAAATCATGTCGACTAGTTCTAGCGTGGAGTCTATCGCAAACAGAGCATCCCACATGTCAAATACGGCGTCAAGAGAGAATTCTCTTCCAAAAAGAAGACGTATCCAGCGTCTGTGCTTGTTAGTTGAGAGGAAATCCAGGCTCGTTGTCGGCTTACAGCAAGAATATTTGAGGAACAATGTCGAGCTTCACGAGATGGCCATGCAATCCTGGATCAACCCTGGACAAGTAGTCATCGAAGATCCTAGAGCTGCGAGCAAGCATTGGAGTCTCTTTGGAAGCTGAGCCAACTTCTGCCAGGGCATAGAACGACTTTGCAGTCTGCATGATGACGGAGAAAAGCATGTGGGTATCGTGCTCAATGTATGCAGAATCGAGCATATCTGCGAGCGTGCGGTCTTTGGCGCCGGGTTTCTGGCCCACGAGCTCAATGGCATCTCTTTCCACAACCCATAGCACGGGGGCTAGTATCTCGTGCATGCCCTGCCGATAGCCAATATTTGGGTGCATTTTGCACCAGACAAACAGAATGTCCAGCATCATGTTTTGGGTGGCGGGCTGGCGAAAGTAGACATTGTCTGGCATGCATCGCTCAATGTCTTGAAATATTTCGGCCCGAAGTTCCTCGTCGGCTCGTAGGGCTATCCATGGGGACTTTTAACGCTTAGCACCTGTCAATAAGCGACATGTTTAGGGGGCGTGCGACGGGGCGACGAGACATACGTACCTCTGATAGCTCGCTGAGGGGATCGACGGTAGACTCGAACTCATTTGGGTTCTGAATGGCACGGAGGTAGTGAGTGCGGAGGGATTCGTATGTCTTGCGCGCCTGGCTGAGGTGGGTGGGCCATGACGAACGATCGAGAGTCTTGAAGACAAGAAAGATCTGGCTGTGGGATGAGCAATGGCAGAAGGATGAAGAGAGTGGAGGGAATCGCACTTTCCAGCAGACAGATCGGAGGCCGGCAGTAATTTGGGGGTCCTTGTGGGAAGAGACGTGAATCTTGAGATCGGTCAAGGAATGGAAGTTGTCGAGCAAGCGCCAGTGCTTCCTACATCACGTCAGAGTTTGTCAAGAATAATTGTGTAGAGGACGCATGGGCATACTCGGCTTCGGATACGGAGCGCATGGTGCCAAAGTTTGACAGTGAGGGGGGGGGGGGGGGGGGGGGGGGGGGGTGCGTGAGTACTGTGTCGGCAACCAAGTACCCTGTTGGTAGCTCAGCTTACAAGACTGGGGGGGTGTGCCGCGCCCTCGATGTCTCGCAGCGATCGCGCGACGCGGGGCAGCATTGGCCGAGCCATGATGTCACGTGCAGCCGGCCAATGGGCCCAGCTGTGCAGTAGGCGACGCGACTACTGGGATCCGTTGTGAGGATGGATGCATGGCATTGGCACCGCACGGCATGGCCGGGCTAAGGATGGGATTGTTTGTTGTTTGTTTGGTTCACGCAGGCTGTACATGGACGACGTCACTGCAATGCGAATACGATAGATCAAGCATCAAACGATAGCGCCGTGCGCTATTCTAGGGTACCTGAATACGGTGGCTTGCCGTTGTGACTACACACTAAATATATATTTTTGCTACCAAAGCGATCGAACTATGGAGGATGCAGAGCAAGAGTACCGATCGAGCCGTCGATCTGGCGTCTCAGGACGAGGTGCTAGCAGCCGACGGTCATGGGCTGCAGGCTTCATCCATGGCGCGAACCATGGACGGCTGGGCTAGACACAGGTGTAAGGCCCAAGCGAGAGGAGGATAATGGATAATTCAGCTGGTTTTGGCTATGCTGGGGTCCAGGGCGGCAGAGGGAGAGGGGCGTCGGGAGTATTTGCAGGTCGAGGGAGCCAAAAGGGCCAGCCACACGGCCATGATCGACCGTGTGTGTCTTGGCGGTGTGGCCCCACGTGGGCTCAGTGCGTGTTAGCACCAGGCACAGCGTTGCGCTGCCCTTGGATGACCAGCCTGTCGACGAGGCCGGGAGCGAGAATGTCCTGGCGAAAGCGCTCCTGCTGCAGCAACTCAAGCGCACGGAGCGTTGGGCCGGGATGGCTGCAGGCGCATCATCATCAGTAAGCTGGGTGGCGTCATGGAGCAGTTGTTGGGCGCAGTGTGGTCGAGTGTTACAGGGCTGAAAGGGGGGACCTACTGTAGGAATTTGGCGTACTTGGGTTCCCTGAAGTACTGCAGGTACTGCAGGTACGCCACGAAATCGGGCTTATCGAGCGTTTTCTGCTGGGCCAGGAAGTTGAGATAAACGGGATTGGCGAGGCACTGGACAAACTAGGTTCGTGTTAATGAAGATAAAACAGGGGCTAATGACGTTGCGGACAACGGGAATTGCGGACCTCTAGTTCGAGCTCAAAGCGCGAGTATCCGCCCAAGCCGGGCACGTCTGGCATGGGCATTGCTGCCAGCGTCTGATCTGACAGGTGCGGTGCGATGGGGATGGCAAAGGGGTCGCGATTGAGAGTGTCGAGAGCCAGGCCGGCTGAGGCTGAAAGAAGAATGGATGGATGGATTCAGGGTCCTTTTTTCCCCGCAATGTCCAGGCTGCGCAGAGTCGGCAGCTAATCCACTTGGGTAGATTGAGGCGGGCTAACGAGTCTGCCCTTGCACAAATCAGCTGCGCGAGGGAGGAAGAGCGAGTGCGAGATGGAGGGGGGGTGGGTGGACAGTGATGCCTCCTCGGCCGGGGTGACGGGTGGGCGAGCAGTCTGTGTGTGTGTGTGTGTGTGTGTGTGAATGCTTGGTAGTATGGAGGATGTAGGTACAGTAGTAAGTACTATGGGACCATGTACGTAGTGGTGTACGTCTACAATACTGCTCAGGAGGGCGTCGGTACAGTAGCAGAGTCAGGCGGACGCAACGCTATGCCCGTCTGGCCAGCGACCCAAAAACCCCATAGGCGCGTGTCCATGTCGCTGCTCTTCTGGCGGGCATCGGCCTCATGGTGGCTTTTTGCTCCCTCTCCTCCTCAGGCTCGTGACCAGCGGCCCAGATGACGGCCGGTCCTACCGAACGCCGCAGCGTCCCAGGTCCCCCAGCTCCCACCTCGCCGCTCGCCGCTCCGCCGCTCCAAAGCTGGCCAGAGAAAGACCTAGGCCGCTCTTGCACTTGCTCCAGTCCAGCCGACGACTAAATAAGTACTTGGTAGCAGGAGTAGCTACTTTTAGCCCTCATCGTGTCTCCTCCCCTTCCGCGCCTTCTTTTTACATAAACCCCATCCGCCTGCCGTCTCTGTCCTCCGCCCCTCTCCCTTTCCTGGCCACCCCCTCCCCCCCTCCGGCCGGACTCTCTTTCTCTCCTCCCCCCCTCCCCCCTCTCCCTCGCTCGCTCCCTCGCCCATATAACTACACACATACCCCCCCGCGGCCTCCTGCGCTGCCTGCACCACCACGGCCGTCGCCTGGGCACTCGACATCACTAGCCGTTGCATAGACTACTAACGGGCCTTCAAACACAAGCCTATCTGCACTCGCCCCGCCCACCTGCACCCACCGCCGCCGCCAGCCAGCCAACGGGGCCCGTTCTATCCTCAGCGCGAAACACTGCAGCATTGGTATCGCCAGTCTTAAATTACGCCCCCCTTTTTGCTTCTGCTGCCCTACCCAGCAACAGAGGCCGCTGCACCACGACACGCTTACCCGCACTGCGCGTCACCAGCCAACAGTCGCACAGCGCTCGCCTGCCGCCTCCTGCAACGCCAGTGTTTGATTGGGCCGCACAGCAGGGTTGTCGACAACAGGACGGCATTATGTTTGCAGAGCCGTCAATGCCAGGTATTACCCCCCTCCCCCTTCGATCGCCCGTTTCACCCTCTTCTTGGGCCCTCCGCTCCAATTTGCTCCCAAGCTCATCACCCCTTCTTATCTACAGAACGCCGGCCCTCGCCAGGCCTGCAGCTCAACCTTTCCTCAAACAACCCTTTCCGCAGAGCTGCCTCGCCCGGTTATCCCTCTCCCGCATTTCCTTCTCCCGCAAGTGCCACCAACCGCTCCAGCTCCGGCAGCAGACCAATGTCACGAAATCCCTTTATCTCGACCTTCGAGGCCGAGTTTAACAAGGAAGCTTCGCGCGACCTTATCGACATGTCTGCAAACATGAAGGAATCGCCCAAGAAACCCACCTTTGGCTCGGCCACCGAGGACATCTTTGTACGTTTTCCTTGCGCTCTGCACCACAATTTATCCGTCAACCCGGCGGCTACGTGCACTTTGTTGTTGCAACAGCTGTCCGCTCAAAATCCATCCCTCCTTCCTATATGCATCACGAGATGCTTCAAACGCTTTTTGCTGGCCACTTTACTGACCATCACATCCCCACATACAGAAGAGCCTATCCATCGATGACAGCGACAAGAAGCCAGCTCCTCCCTCACGCCCAGCCCCTAACCGAAGCGGTACCGATCCCCGTGCAGCCCACCGCCCATCTCGATCTGATGAGGAGAGGCGGGCACGGGACGGTCCCCGTGGCCCTCCTCGACCACGTGGTCCTCCAGGCTCGTCGCGTCCTCTCCACCCAAACAGCCCTGAACGCCGTGAGACGACTCGGCGCCCCCGACGTAACTCGGAATCCTCGATAATCGACCGAGGTTCTTTGGACCCTCGCGACGACCGCAGGCGCAGGGAGCGCCGCAAGGAGCATGAGAGTTCCAAGGATGCAAAGGATCCTAAGACGGGCAAGCGCGTCCGCAAACCCCAAGGGCTTGATTTGATCGACAAGCTCGACGTCACCGGCATCTACGGACCTAGCATGATTCACCATGACGGCCCTTACGACGCCGTACAGCCACACCGAAACCGGAAGAAGGACACGCGCGCGCCAATGGAGGCTTTCCCGGTCGGATCCGCCAATAACACGCTAGGGGGTGCTGGACCGTTGAACAACAAGATCGATTTGGACAGGATCCACGGCCGAGGCGCCGAGGGTTTCGAAGACTTCAGTACCGCCGAATCCGAGTGGAAGAAGCCTGTAACTACAGAGTACAGCGCCAAGAGCCGAGACGACATCGTCCACGGTGAGCAGAGCAACGGTCTTGGAACCTCGACATTCCTTGAAGGTGCTCCAGCATCTCGCAAGGCTATCCAAGAGGACAGCGATGCTCAGAGGCAAAAGCAGCTTGCTGAGAACGGCCTTGGCCGCAAGAAGTCGATTGCCCAGCGATTCCGCGGTATCTCGCAGCCCCGACGTTATGGAGACAATCCTCGCATCACTTCACCCGAAGCGCGTTACGGAGCCGCGACTAGCCCAAACGGCCACAATGGGTCCTACAGCACCGGGTCGCTCTCCCAGACCAAGGCTAATGAAAAGAACCCCTTCTTTAGTGACGACTACGACAGGGCCTACGATGCCAAGGGAGCGTCCATTAGGACCGGTGACGCCGATGGAAGGATGGGAGCTTCACCACCTCGTGGTGCCGCTTTGCAACGATCCATTACTACTGACAGCGCCTCATCCCCTACTGCCGAAACCAAGCCACCTGGTGGTGGTTTCCTCAACCGCGTCAAGTCTCTCAAGGGTGGACGCCGCCGCCCAGCTTGAGCCGGTCATGGACACGGTTGAATCATCTCATTTGCTGCCTTTTGAGGTCATTTGTGGCACCTTGGAATTTCATACTAGGATAACCACCACAGCGCCGCAGCTATGCTCCAGTACGATATGGCGCTTGTTCATTCTATTGGCGCACACTTCCGTTCAACGATTGAACCTTTTTCCTTTTCTACTGGCGTTGGCGTAATTGGGACATTGCCAAACCACGAGCTCTGGATACCACTCATGTGTAGTAGAATAAGGCCACTTTGGGAATATTTTAACGGATAGCCTCGGTTGCCTCTTTTTCCTTCTCCTTTCATTATTGGACCAAACAAACGCTTAACGCGCCTTTTCTAATACAACGGACGTCTGGGACAAATTTGTATGGCATATTCAGACTACCAGGTTGCAATTGCGGTAATAGTGGTAGCAGCAACAACAGTCTAGGGGAGAAACGCGAGGCGTAGGGTGATTATGTAGCTCATATCAAAAATGCGTTGGGAATACAATTGTCTGCCTTTATAATTTATGCTGTAAATCATTTAGCATTGTAAATGTGTATTGCGTGTGTGTAAATAAACGAACCACTTGATTATTTGCACAAGCAGTAAAAGAATATGTTATCATGCACAAATGAACAATTCCAATTCCAATTCCAGCCTCGAAACTCCCCAACCCCCCAACCCCTTCAACCCCACACAAGCAAATTATCCAAAGTCACGCGTTCTTCTGATCAACCTGATGTTCAGGGGCAGCGCAATGGGGTGGGGTCACATACGTACGTACATCCCTATCCCCATTCATTTTTTTATGCACGAAATCCGGGAACATCATTCAACCCTTTCAACCTTTGATCCCCCTTCTCACCTATCCCCCCCCCCTCTCCGCAATCCAACAGAGAGAAAAAAAAATTCCAACGAAACCCCCATCTCAACTTTTTTTTTCCGTACCGGGGCTCCTACGCCGCGAAATGTTGATGAAAAAGCTACTGTTACCTCGCTAGAGTAGTTTAACTCAAGTCATGCATTTGCTCCATGCACGTGGTGGCGACGGCGGACGCGTGGCAGGTAATAGTAGTGGCGTGCATGTACTACGGATGTAGCTTGCATGTGGGTGCGTGGGGCTAGTGGTCGTCGCTAGAAAAAACGGCTGTGTGGTATGGGATGGGAAGGGGGGTTTTGTATATGTATATTTTGCTGTTGATAAGAATTCAATCGTGATGGGTTTGAGTAACTTTGGATGAGAGAGAATGAAGGGGGGGGGAGGTGTATTTTTTTTTGAGGAAAGATTAACAGTCAAGTCATTGTATAGTATACGGATCTGCCATGTTGTTCTTGCAAGTTGCTTTCCCTCCAAATCCCATGTCTGTGGTTAATGGGTCGAGCGATAACCTTGCATGGCGCTTGTTGACTTTCCCATGTTTTTTTTTCTTTTTTTTCTTCTCCTCCCTCATTAGGATTTTTGAGGGCCATTTGCGACGTCATTGTTGGATCATTGATGTTTGAGGAAGAACTACATGTTTCACACCTACGTATGTATGTGACTTGGCGGACTCAGCAAGACATGCGGTTTTCTTGGATCAGATTTCTTTGTTTTATTGTTCCATGTGCATAGACTGGTAATACCTGTTTCACTGTGTGGTTTTCGGGAATGATTACATGTGTAGAGGCATAACGCTAAGGCGGGTGCATGCATGTCAACAAACTTTGGGTTTCGCCAAGACGATGTCATCATGTTGATAACAGGACATGAGTGGACATGGGAAATTCAGGTTGGAAGAATATGTTGGTATTACTAGTCGTCATTCGTAACAAGTGGACGTCGCGAGTTAAACGCGAAGGAAGCCACGTGAACTGATTATTTCATCTTTAAGATATGATTCTTGTCATTACTATCGCGAGTGTTGCATAAGCTGTAGTAGTCCTTCTGCAGCATCGCCTTGTACCCCAATGCTATTTGAAAGGCTATCTCCCATATATTGCTCCTGCTTCAAACGTTGCAGTCTTTCTCGTGCAGACTCGCCTGCCCTATACTGGTTATTTCGCACCCCCGATTCAGCAGTCATCTGGTAGTGGTCTCCGTGTCGAGCAGGTGACATGAGTTGTTCGGGTGTAGCGGATTTAGGCAACTCAACGGCAGGAGGTGAAGAGGCGATGTCATATTGTTGCAAAGTACGCGATGAATTCATGCCACCGGAAGGCAGTGCAAAATGAACTGGAGCGGGCCCGAGTTTGCTAATGGGTCGAAACGGGTCGAGATTTGCCTTCACAAAGACTGGTCCTTGGTCGCGTTGGGGAGAGGATATGGTAATGTTGGGAACGCGGCAAGTGTCTTGAGATTCGCTAGAGTATGTTGTGGCCGTTGACCTCGACGCGTTGATCGTGTTGGATGAATAGAGGGCGCTGGTCTCGTATGGTGCAATAATGTCCACGTCGCGCTTATTGACCTGGTTCGTCTTGACCTTGTACAGACCAAACTTGAGGCGCGTGCGCAACTGTTCCGCCCGTGACTTGGTCTTTGTCTCTGCAACTGGTGGGGCAGGCGCTAATGCAGCTGGACGTTCTTGCTCTTTGCCTGGGTCGCTCTTTTGGCTGGCACACATTTCATAGTTGAGAAAATCGGAGAAGGACTGGTTGCTCTTTTGAGATGCTTGGATTAGTTCCGGCTCAGGCTCGGGTGATGGTGAGGGCGTGGCGCGTTCGGTAGGCGAGCCGGGATCTGCGAGTCCAATTGGGTTGTTTTCCTATGAGAATTGTCAGTCATATGAAGAGGCACAGAGCATGGTGTACCAACAGTGTGTTTTTGTATCGCGTCAGCAGTTAAGCGCACACCGGTGTTTGAGGGACTGTCGTCGCGTGCGTGAGCAAGCATCTTTGCACTTCCAATCGTCTCGGCGCCCTCGACTTCTTCTATGCCCCGCTTCTTGCTCCTGACAGTCGCATTGGGCGTCGTCAGGTTCTCTTTGTCGACAAAGTGGACCGGCGTGTTTGGGGTAACGTGCTTCAGCGGGCTTTCGGCTCGTGGGGCTTGTGATGCTTCATATGCCTTTGTCTGAGTTTGGGGCGTATTTAAGGCCTTTGGAGTGATATTTCCTAGCACCCGTCGCGAGGGTGTCTGCGAGGGCGTGTGGTAAGCGGCCATGGTCGGTCTGTGTGGCGTTGTGGCGCTCATGGTGTTGCTGCTGCAGTCTTCCGTATCCCGCGACGCGTTGATGTACCAAGGCAGATGACGCGTGGGGTTGTGATATAATGGTCTGAATGGGGCAACTGGATGTGACTGAGGGACGACTTGTACTGTGTTCCAATCCCTGATAGAAACAAATCAAAACAAACAATGTGTTTCCAGAAGGTAGTGCGGTAGTAGGCGCGTCGGGGTTGGGGAGGGCATATCACGGACACGAGCCGACGCGATTGGGGGAGGGGGACATGTCAGGGTCCAGTGCAGCTTGGCGGGATTGCAGCCTGGCCTAACTCTCTCTCTCTCTCTCTCGTCCTCGCTTGGTCTTCATCTTCGTCTCCCTCCTCATTGTGTGTTTATGACCGTAGTCTTGTTTTCCAGGCAAAGCTCTACACAATTGCCGATCGTAAGAAGGAAATGCTGGGTTGAGTAGTTTCCAATGGTGCTACTATGATCCCAAAGCTAATCCTGAGTCCTACCCGAAACATGCCCCCACAAGGCTATTAGATGCCTACACAGGACCAACCCTACTATAAGCACTTACTCTCAGATCTAGTCAATCTCGCAAACAAAAGAACATCTAGACACTATTCCAAAGATATCAAGTCAGCCAAGCAAAAGGTAGTCGTTCCCCACATGGTAGTAACAGGGGTGATAACTTGCCGAACAATGGGCCTTCGCGATAAGATAGGGCTCCTAGTAGTCCCATTGCACATGCACATGTAGAACGCGCCAGCCTACGGGTCTCCAACTCTCCACTTTACGTCATCTCCAGCACACCAACGCGGTTACTCGGCACCACCATGTCTCGGTTCCATGCACCTACACACCAAACCCTCACCCCCTATTCAACTGACACTTCTGTCAGAAACTGCCTGATATTCTGCGTCCCAGTACACAGCCTACCACTGTTACAATCGTCTTATTTGGAGCAAAGCAAGCTTAATCATCCTTGCGTGCATACTATCTAACAATTGCTCCACTTCTTCACAATGAGAGGCTTCCTGCAGAAAGCCAAGTCCGAGTTCAAAAACCTGACCCAGAACGATGCCGAGTCTAGTAGTTCACATTACCAACACCAGACACAATGTCCCCCTGCACAGCACTTCAATGGAAATGGAGCTGGTAATCATAAACAGGGTATCACCGACCCCACCTCACTAGATATTCTCCGTTATCGCTACCACCATGGCACAAACCTCGGATCTGTCTATGTCATTGAGCGCTGGCTCCAGCACTCTCGATTCCCTGAAGGCGCAGAAGGCTCCAGTGAGCTTGCAGCAGTCAAGGCATGGGTTGAAAGGATTGGCATCGATGAGACGAGAAAGAAGTTTGAGGAGCATTGGGCCAATGTCGTTTCCGAAAATGCCATCGGATGGCTAGCTAACGTAGCCAAATGTACCACCGTCCGTTTACCCATCGGTTACTACGACTTGCCCGGTGCAGTCTTCACACAGGGCACGCCCTTTGAGCCTTATGCTGAAATCTACACTGGAGCATGGGATAGCATTCGCAACCTCATTCAAAGGTTACGTACGCGCTCGATTGGAGTTCTGATCGATCTACATGCCCTTCCAGGAGGAGCAAATGCGCAGGAGCATTCTGGGACAAATAGTGGATGTGCTGAACTTTGGGGCAATCCTTTCAACCGCTCTCTAGGCGTTCGTTGTTGCCAGTTCATTGCCGAAGACACAAAATCTGGAGCTGAGATTGCTGGAATACAGCTCGTCAACGAGGCTGAGTGGGAGTGTGAACGCATGTACGAGTGGTATGATGAGTGCATAAGCGCTGTATCTGCCATTGATCCTGAAATGCCTGTCATCATATCGGATGGCTGGAATTTCTCAAAAGCTATTGATTGGTGTCTCCAAAAGAACTCAACCTACTCCTACCCGCAGTGTCCAGTCGTCGTCGATACGCACTATTACTGGGCCTTTACAGACAACGACAAAGCCAAGTCGCCACAGCAAATCATTCAAGAGGCTGGTACCAAAATGGGAGAGCTGGACGGTAAAGAAGGTGCAGTCCATGATCGCGGCGCTGTTCAAGCCATTGTTGGCGAGTACTCATGTGTTATGACTGAAGACTCATGGGCCAAGGGTGGTGAAGTACCAAAGGAAGAGCTAGTGAAACAGTTTGGTCAGGCACAAAGCAAGAGGTACCAGGAGAGAGCTGGTGGTAGCTTCTTCTGGACATGGAAAATGGACTGGATGCCGGGCGGTGAATGGGGGTTCAAAGCTAAAACAGAAGATGGAAGTATCGTACCGCCAAATTACACCGCCATGTCCGCCGATCAGAGGCATGAGACGATTGAAAAGGCTCGACACGAAAGAGCAGGACTTTTTCACAACGCTTTCCAACAACACGTGGCTTATTGGACCGGTGTAGATCCAAATGGCACCTATGAACATGAAAAGTACGAACACGGCTGGCAGGTTGGGTTTCAAGACGCGCTTGCATTTTTCGAGGGGAGAGACACGCGTGGTGACAAAATCGGTATGCTCGAACTTTGGATTCTGAAGCGTATCAGAGAGAGCGGATACAGGGGCGGCTTTACCTGGCTATTTGAGCAGGGTTTGAGGAAAGGTGTGCAAGACTGCCAATTCACGCTCGGCATCTGAGGTCATGGCGCACACACCATATGGCCTCCTTTCACTCCCACTTCCAGTTCACCTAGAAACGACATTCATCATACACTATGCTATACGCAACCGATGCCGTGAACATCAGTGAAACAGTGGTAGTAGTCATACGCGCCTATGCAGATAAATGATCCTGTGTTGACCTTCGGGTGTATCGTAACATCAACTCCAGTCAACAACCCTTACTATCCCCTTTACCTTTATTATCATTTGACAAGACCCCTAAGCCATGGATCACACTCAACCCATGCACATTGATACGAAGGCAATTCCACGCAGTGAGGCGTCGTCTCTACTTCACGATACACCAGAAGTCCGGCCATACCAAGCATACTGCGACACGGAGATTCCATCATGTCCGCCAAGTCCAGAGAATCTCGCCCCAAGTCCGTTACGGGTGAGGAAGGTCTATCTAGAGCAGATAGACATGAGTGCGCAAGCCTCAATTATAGACGCCTCTGAACAAGAAATCTCTTTAACTCGAGTTGCGACATCCGGTCCGGACAAGCAAGTCGATTTTTCCAGATCAATTCCAATGGGAAGTCATATTGGGAAACAGAACCAGAGAATGGATCAAAGGAGTTTTCTTGGAATTACTTCGTCAGCAACTTCAGATCATCCCACACAGCCTATCAACCTACGCGGCAGTCACTCACCAAGTGACGATGAGGTGACCGCGTACGACTCTGAATCGGCAATTGCACGGGTGCAACCGCCGGAACACATTGATCGTGTGACGGAGCGTACTATACCACGGAGACCAGTTCCTGAGAATATGGGAGTATTGGGGATAACCTATCGTCCTTTGCCTCAGGTACCGTTGGAAAAAGTCCAGCTCGAAAGTCAGGATCGATCACAATCGACATCCGAGCATGTATGTGCACAATGTCCACTACGAACAATGGAACCAACGGACGAAAGAATGGAGGAAAGAGACGGCAAAATATATCTAAGATACCGCCATGGTGTCCACGATGTCCCATGCATGTCATCCTCGGATCCGCCTGGATATGATGAACCTTCTGCCGCGATATTACGCCTCTTACCGGAAGACTCATTACCATCTGCCCCGTCATCTCCAGCATACAATGCACATGTTCGACATTGTGGACAAACTGCACCAGAGACATTCGGCGGTACCCACACTCGGCATTCTTCGTCAACTGAGCCGGGTAATGCTCCAGAAAATGTGCATGGTACAAACAACGAGGCCACCGTTGGCCTATCGGATCAATTCGAAGACATAAATCTCGAATCCCCAAACGCCCAGCTGCCACCTCAAATCCCGGAACCAGCCTTCCAGACACGCTTTCACCGGCGTAGCCATGAACTCTTCTTCCAAGTCCCCTCATATACGCGACCACATCCCGCGCCCTTACTCCATTCCTCAACGGATCTCCAAAACGGTCCGCGCCCACCCCCCTGGGGCACCTACGACGACCTCGCCCTGCAACGCCGTCAACGCAATGAACGCAGAGGAAGGACATATAACACCCCAGTAACCATAGTGCAGGGAACCACCCTGACGCATCAACAGACGTTGTCTGTTGTGGATGGGGGTGAAGGGCTTTCGAGGGAGGTGAATGAGTATCGAGAACAGATACTCCGCGTGTATCCTGACATGGCATTTGATGGACACGCAGGGGAAGGTGGGCGGGAGTTTCGGTGTTGTGTGGTTATGTGAGGTGGATAGGGGGATGGTGGTGTTTTTTCGGAGGAACTGAGGGGTTGTGGACGAGGGTTTGATGGGTAGACGTTATGATGATGTAGAGGATGTTGATTTGTTATAGCTTGTGGAGACCAAGGAAGCAAAATCTTAAAAATAAGAAGAAGAGAGATATAATTTGCGTGTTCATGTGTTTGATATATATCGAGTCCAAGGGTGCGGGTGTTGCGTAGATATATATCCATGCCAAAATTTAGTTTCAAATTTGAGGATCCTCGACGGAAGTACAGAACATGGCTCTTTACCTGGAACTCACACGTCTTATATGTCTTTACATGCCGAGCAAATAATAGGAGTTTGCATAACCATTCAGTTTATGTTTCGTAACACTGTCTAGTGATTCCAAGCAAATCCAGAACACTCCTTGTACATGATAATATCACAAATACAATTCTTACAGAAATGATTGCGCGCTTTGATATGTACATTCTCAGCAAGCCATCTGAATTATTGCGCGTCGTACGTACTCGCTCCACGTGCTACAAAAAGCCACACAGTAACGTATGCCGTGTAACAGTGTTATGTTTCTCTCCGGGAAAACCTTCATTCTCGAAATTTCAGATGCAACGGACTTTTTACTAAGCGCCCTGATAGAGCTGCTGTCAGAAATGTTCCATCGGTGATTACAGAATTGACAGACCGCCTTTTCCCAATAGTGAGAGTAACACGAGCTTAGATACTTAGACCAGGTCAATCGGGTTTGAAAGAGATAGATAAGAAAGCGGGGTTACAAAAAGACAGTTCCGGCATCGCATTCACTCACACTATAGTCTGAGCGCAAACACTTTCGTTTGCTTTCATGCCATTGGACGTAGGATACTCCTTGCAACCAATCCATAGCTGCTCAGTCTCTCGAGTCCGACATTCGGCACGCCTTGCCACAAAACTCTCAATATTCTATTCTCTGCAATTTCTCAAATCCAACCAACAACGGCATAATGTCCACACACTTCCATCCGCGTCCTTCTACTTCTGCACCGCAGAGTCCTGTTTGCCCTGGATCTGCTCGCCCGACCATCCGTGCCATCACGCCTTCGCCACCGCATGGCTCGAGCAACCCCATGAGCAAGAGTTGTAGTGAGCTAGAGAAGCCGAGTCACACATCACAAGGGGCGGCAGAGCACCTCTTCATGCGGCCCAAGAGTGTAGAGATGCTGCAAAAGCATGATCAGATCCGGCACGCACAACAGGGCTTTCAAGGTGAAAAAGTGGATGCCAATATGCCTGGACTACGGCGAGGTGGCGCAGTAGCAGGCAGAAAGTCACCCGTGAAGCGCAGACATCAGAGTAAGAGTCAGAGAAGCAGACCATATAGCACGCCACCAGCAACATCTTTGCGGCGTAGGATGCCGATTGGAGATCGAAAGGACGGCAAAGACGAAGAAAGCGGTGCCATCAAGCAAGATGCAGGCAAGCAAACCCAACACCTAGACAACAACGACATAGACATCTTCGCCGCCTGCCCCGATACCCCCACACCAATGACAGCATCACAAAGACGCTTTGCACACCTCCCTCTCGGCACACCAACCCCGGCTATCTCCTCCCAATCCGCTTCCGAACCGCGCTCAAGAACCCATACCGCACCTCCACGTATCAAATCCGCCCCGATCCTCGCCTCAAATCGCAACCGGCACACTTCCACCTCTAGAACCAGAAACCCGCAGCCTAGCCACACATGGAAAACACAGGGTCAACACGGCACGCGCGTAGCCCAGCCCAACCACCCAAACCCTGAAGCAAACGTCGCGCCAAAACTCTCACGTTCACATCAACACCTCCATATACTATCGGCCCCAACAGCACCCCAACGCACCAAAACACCCGGCCCCCCTCCCACCGTACCCTTAGCGCGCAAACCCCTCTCCGCTACGTCCAACATATCCATCCACACCGCGCACTCGCACTCGCACCGCAGCGTCTTCAGCACGCTGGGCCGCGACGAGTTGGAGCGGAAGAAGGCGGTGGTGGAGGAAGATGAGGGGCCGTTTGGTGCGGCGGGGAGTGTGGCCGAGTTGGATGGGGCGAGGAGGAGTGTTGGTAGTGGTGGAGGTGGAGGGGGAATGTGTGGGGGTAGGGGGTGCTGTGGTGTTATGTGAGGGTTGGTGGTGGTGGTGGTAGATGGAAAAGGAGGAGGGATGATGGTGTGGAAGGAGAGGGCAGTTAGTGTCTGGATAACGAGAACTGCGAATGGGGTGGATGGGTTATAGGGCGGTTGGAGTACCTGATATGAAATAGTTAGTATAGTTGATAGGATAATGAATGGGGAGCCATGCGTATTGAGGCAATGCGAAAGAAAAATAAGTCCACTCAATTGCTACAGCACGGCATGAACGTAATTGTTTTCCCTACTACAATTGATTTGTTGGTTGGAAACACCCGTGGAAGGCATGCAAAATATCAAATTAAAGCCGTGGCAGTATGGCTGTCGCACTGAGGCAACTACAAACCCCTATAATGTAATGATTTTCTTTGAATACAAATGCGAAAGCTGTTATTGTTGTAGAATATCAGAACACTAGATGTGAAAACATCACCTCTTGGTCTTGCACCAGACACGAATGGTCTACTGAGTCTTTTGGGTTGCCCACCAGAGTAATCATGATACACGTGACTAGCCTATGCAGGACAATGCAGTGTTCCGCCTAGATACGAGGCCCCAACGGACTGTCGTAGAACTAGATAATATTCATCATGGTGTTTGAAAAGGGTTCTTTCCACCTATTGACGATGCTACTGTAGACGCCGAGAGACGATAAGCATATCCCAAAGATTCATTCACAATGGTCGAAACCTCACAGTCACTCGCAAGGTGTTGAAAAAAAAATGCAGAATCAAATGTCAGTCGCAAAACAGGTGTGCTGAAAACTAATTTCGCTTTTTGGACGACGGGTCGGAGGCATAGTCGAGAGCGGTGACAATGTCGGTACCAAAAACGATGACCATGTATGAAGGGAAAATAATCCAAAGGCCACTATGGAGATGATCAGCATCATGTGTGTGATGATATTCTATGCAGAAAAGTAGAGACTCACTTCATGATAATATATAAAAAGATGAGTGTGAACCAGTCGTTGTGACGGATGTTGGCAAAGTCGGAGAAGTACTCATTGCAATCTATTTCTGTTAGAATGGAATATGCTGAACCACAGGTCCTGTATACATACAATACAATATCGTCTTGCTCAGCGTCATGACGGCAGCAGTGAAGCCAATGAGGACTGCGCGGTTACCGGACTTGCCTCGCACCTTGATGCCGCCGGCGAAGAAACCGCCTTTGTCCTTGCTCACCTCCACACCAGTACCTCCAGCAGCTGGCTGACCGTGGTTGTATACAGTCAGGGCATAAATTCCGTATAGAATGAGTTCGATGGCATTGAGCACGCCCTGTGCTGCTCCGAATCCATCATGGTTTTCCCATCCGGGCCATCCGTATACGTAATCGATGGCTGCGTAAGTTTCGTAGGGTTTCCACAGTGGCCATTGGAGTGCGCCTCCAGCCATGGTGTGCGGTCGCCCCAGGATGTACAGAGTATCCCAAAGCACGAGGGGCCATGATATAGACAGCCAGGCGAGGGTGACTTTTGAGGCTGTGTGGCACCATGTTGGCTCGTCAATTGCGGCGGGAGCAGGAGGGCTGATTTCGTCGAAAGCATTCGAGACTGCGCGTTTGGCCAGAGAAGCTGCGCCAGATGGAGACGCGCCGAAGTCTGGTGGCGCAGGCGACGCGGTCGAGTTGCACGATCGTGGCGTCTTCTTGGTGGGCGATGGCTCCGAGGTGGGGAAGTCGCCTTGAGGGCGTGAGCGCGTCGTCACCATTATGTTTTTGGCGGTGCAAAGCTGCGAAAAAAAAAGATCAAAAGAGGAAACTACAGATCCTGAAGGGATAAAAACAGCGCAATGGCACTTAGGGCAGGAGGAATGAGGTGTTGCGATGATGCTACATATCTGTATAGCCAGCACCGAGCCAATGAGGGGTCGGGTCCGCGCTACCCGGCTTAATTCGTAACCTGGGATAATCTCCCGCCCTGCCAGCCAGTAGAACGCGACAGATGGGCGCCTAGCGTCTTAGCACAAATCTTAATTCTGTATCTTGTTACGCTGACCGTTGCGACTTGGACTTTGTGGACTGCTTCCAACGCCCAATTCAACAGCTGTCCGTCTTTGAGATGACGGAACGGCAGGGCAAGCTAAGAAGAAAGACAAGTCATTCTTTGGACTAGGCTACGTCTGGTTCACGCCAACCAATATTGACCATGTCGACTTCGACTTCGAATTACACAATGCCCGCTCATCTGCGGCCCTTCTCTATCCTCTCCGCGAAGTCGTGAGAGCAATGCCATGCGGCATACCCCGGAAGTAAAACCCGGCATACGTTCATCCCTTTAGGGCGCGTAGCTACGACCACGCAGCATCTTCGCCTCGTCGGCCGTGACAGTCATTAGACCTGAGCCAGCCCCATCCAGCTTCTTCTTCAGTGACTGAGCAGCACGCCTCTCCCGCTCAATACGCTCACGCTTCTCGGCCTCGTTCTGCTGACGGCGCTGACGGCGCTCGCTCTCGCGGGCATCCGCATACCTCTTTGCACAGCTTGCAAAGAATGCATCAGCGGTTTCCATTGCCGTTTTGAGGCGATCATGCGTCTCTAAGAACTCCTCAAACTCATCTGCATCAGGGATAAGGCCTTTGAAGCGTTCGTGACAGAGATGGTTAACCATGGTAGTCCACAGCGGATCCTTGTCTGACGTAGCGTTCTGCTCAATGATAACAATCTCTTCATAGCTTGGAAGTTCGCTCTTCAGGTAGGTGGTGTAAGCACCTAGGATATGCGAGCAGTACCTCTCCATGCCTAGCAAGCGAGCTGCTCGTAGGACAGCGATGTCCTCGAAAAACGTCTTCTGATATGGTACAGCATGCGCCTCAAATTCGTTGCAAGCTTCACGTATCCACTTGATAAGCAGTAGGCGAACGGCACCGGGGTGGATCTGGCCACGCGAGAACCGGTACTCTAATGAGTTTGGGTGGTTAGTGAAGTGACGGTGCAAAACAGAAGATGCAGCCGTCGCGGAGCGCTTGTAGATGTCTGCGACAGATGTGTTGCCAATGTGAATGGTTATGCGCGGACCTGTGAGGAGAGCTTGACGCTGAGGACGGATCATCTCCAGAAGATTATCATGGCACTGGTCGACAATGGCAATGGATGAACCCTCAGCACATGCCTGATCGCTAGAGGTTTTGAGCGCTGAGACAGTCGATGTCAACGACTCTGACTCCTTGTGAGAGAGCGGAGGAGAAGACAGTGTAGAAGAGTCTACGGATAGAGCCACCGCCTTTGTAATTCCGGCTTCTGGGTCAAGCAATCCAGAAGACGTGACTGATTGAACGTCCCGCTGAGTGGGCTTTTCAGCTACCAACTCCACCTTGACAGCTTTCCCGCGAGATGCCTTTTTAGTCTTCTTCTTTAATTTTGGCAACTTCGCAGCGACCGCTGCCTGTTCTTGAACTTGGTTGTCTTCAGGCTGAGTGGCTTTGATATCTGGTCGCCCAACATTCTTCGCAGTCTTGTACCGGGAAGTGTTTGTAGCCATATAAGGAGCTTGGCCCAGGCTAATGGGCAAGGAAGCTCTACATAAACATAAGTATCATGTTACACTGTAATGCACTAAGCGAACTTACTTGTCGTTGGCAACGGAGGCTTGCATGGCTTGGTTGGTCGGAATTATGTATCCCAAGATATGAGTAGAGTCCTCAATGATTTGTGATTAGGCAGTAGAGCTGTTGTTTGTTTGTGTATGATGACCTGTGTTGTGAGTCGCTGGATATGATCCAATGTTTGGTGAGGGCCAGAAACTTACGCTGCAGAGGAATATGTGTATCAGGGAATCATATCAATTTGACAAGAGTAACTAGTGGTCTAGTTAGAAGTTTTCGAGAGTTACTAAAGCAGAGTGTAGTGACGGGCCAGTGAGCGCGACCTTTTCTAGGTTTGCAAACGGGTAGGAGCATGGACTGCACGTGACCCTGCGGCTACCCAGAATATTAAGCAAACGGTTGCAGAGGAGAGCCTGTAGTGAAATTGAATGAGGATTTATAGCTTGTGAAGTGTTTCTGAGTGGCAACACTCTCTATTTTCTTATGCGTCAGTTTGGGGCAACATGGTTCTTCAGTCCTCAACTTGAACTAGGAAAGTAGCTACTACTTGATGATACTGCGTAACCAATTCTGCCATTGAGCAGTCCAGGGTATGATCTGCAATTGCACTTCTTACTTTTTGTCTGCCTGTATACTCTAGCGAAATTTCGACCATTTTGACTATCAAGCCTCATCAGAAACTCATGTATACACTGTAAAAATCCAGCATCCTAGATTATACTTTCCTACGCGCATCAAAAAGATATGGCACTCCCGCGACTCGAGCGCAAAAAACAAACTAGCATTCATCGTGGGGAAAAAAACACACGTGGCACAGGGCAAACAACATACAAAAGCAAGTCGCTCAACGTCCTGCAGGTGTCCATCAATGCGTCTCGGGCCGCTGCCGCATGTGCACATCCGCACGGCCACATTCTGTATACTCGAGTGCTTTGTTTTGATCCCATTACTCATCCTGTATCAATCAAAAACACACACAAACAAAATCACTTCCATTTGAATTACTACTCCGGATACACCATCTTCCTCCCCACACCCCCATCCACCACAACCTCCTGCCCCGTCACAAACTCATTACCAACCACATACTCAACCGCCTTGGCAATATCCTCTACTTTGCCCACTCTCCCCGCAGGATGCCATGCCGTATCCTCCCCCGTCAATCCCTCCTCCCACGTGCCACCTTTCTCATCCGCAGCCTTACTCTCGTTGGCAACGTGGATCCACCCCGGGATAATCGCGTTAACCCTGATTTTATGCCGGTGACCCAGCGACACGCACATAGACTGTGTTAAGCCGAGCAGTCCGGCTTTTACGGCGGAGTACGCCTCGTGGTCGGGCTCGGCTTGGTAGGCGCGGGTGGAGGATACGTTGATGATTGTGCCGGGGGAGTTGGGGGTTGAGTTTCCTTTTGCGAGCAAGGGGACGCATAGGCGGCTGAGGAGGAAGGGTGCTGTGAGGCCGATTGCGAGTTTCAAGTCCCATTCTTTTTCTATGTCTTCGCCTTGGGCTTCCATGGTGCGGTCGGAGGAGATGCTGAGGTCGGTGGGGAAGGCGTTATTGATGAGGACGTCGAGCTTGCCGTTAAATTTTTGGTTCACTTCGTTCACGGCGGCTTTGAGTTGGGTGCGTGAACTGAGATCGCAGTGAAGGGCGTGCCAGGTTTCTTTTTGCCCGTTGGACCATTCTTGCGCTCGTGTTTTCACGTGGTCTAGTTCTTCTTTGTTGGAGTCGAGGATGATGACTTCGTGGCCGGCGGTCAAGAGATGGCGGAACAGACCGCGCCCTATGCCTCGTGCACCGCCAGTGAGCAACACCTTAAGGTGTTGAGGTGCTGCGTTCATGTTGTTCGTCCACCTCGTTAAACACCGCGATCAATCGCACGCTCCGGGGTTTAAAAATTCTCAGAAGGACTTTACAAATATGTCTAATTCCAAGTCCCAGGAACAATTCGGGTTGCTCTCGTCCAGAACTTTGGGTATGGAAGGGTGCATACATACATCTTCCATTGATGCATCTGTGCGGAAGAAGTGTATGGAATGACGTCATCACACAGCTCGTTCCGAATGCAGTATTCCAATGGTCCCTCTTACTGATCTGCACCTTACGACGATAGTCGGAGTTCATATGATGCTTCGTAAACCACAGATTCTGTCATCATCATGGCAGCAAACCATATATGGCTCACGGCTTTGTCCTGTTCTGTCAGCAGCATCGCCTATAAATTATCACCAAGCACTCTACACCACTAAGCACACAAGCACACAAGCACATATATACCGGGCCAAAACAAGATAAAATTATACAACATATAAACCAACCTCTCTACGAGAATCTTAAAACGGCCCCACCACGCTTCAACGCAACCGCAATCCCCCAAAAAACCCGCATACAATGTACAAAAGAAGGGTATTATACTACAAATTTACAATCCCGAGTCGATCTGGTTGAGCGTAGTCGACGCGCTGTAGACATCCCACTCATCACAGAGCCTAAACACATCCTCGTCGAAATCCTGCTGGCGGATATCATCGGGCCTCTCGAGGATCTGCATGAACAAACCACCGCTAACGTGCCATGCGAGATGGCAGTGCAGAGGCCAGGCACCCGGGTTGTCTTGCACGAATTGCAGGACCATGTAGGAGGGCTCGACGACGCCGCTGACGTTGCGTGCGTTCTGCATCTGGTGGACGTCGCGGCGGAGTGTGTTCTCGGGGTTGGTGACGGTGCCGTCCCACTCGCCGTAGCCCTCGGCGAGGACGTGGAAGTCGTGGCCGTGGAGATGCATTGGGTGGCCGCCGATCATGCCGTGGTTGACGAGGTGGATGCGGACGTGCTCGGCGCCGGGGAACTGGTACACGTTTGACTCGGCTGGGAAGTTGGTCTCGCCGTTGAATGCCTTGATGAGGGTGGGATCGTTGAAGTTACCGCGGTAAGTGCTGTTGTTGAGATACCAGATGAAGTTTGTGCCGTTGGAGCGGAACTCGAAGTCGACACGCTCGACGTGGTCGGGCTCTCCTAGAGGAATCTTGCATAGAGGGATACCGAGATCGATCGGGTCGTTCTTGCACTGCTCGAGCTGTGCTTGGGTGACATCTGAGGTGGACTGCGGAATAGCATCCGTATCGGCGTCCTCGTAGTAGACAGCTGCAAGGGCGTTGGGCGAGATACCGTCGGTAAGTGTGCAGCGGAATCCTTGAGCGAGCTGAGAGCGCATCCAGAAAGTGTCATTGGGGTTTCCGGTTGCCTCGATAATGACATCAGATCGCTGACCGACGGCAAGGGTAACGACGTTGGTGGTGTACGGTTCAATCGGGATGAAGTCAACTGCAATGACCTTCATGACGTGTCCATCGATGCTGAACTTCTGGTTTCCTTCGGCACCCGTGTTGATGAGACGGAGTAGATGCTTCTTGCCAGACTGGAACTTGAACTTGGCAACACCAGCGTTGGGTGTGCAAGGCAGAGTTGTGTTGGCACACGGATAGTTCATGCGTCCATTGATCAGATTGTTGTTTGACGGAGGGAATCTTCCAGCCATGGTGCCTTCAACCAAGGAGTAGTAATCAGCATGGAACCAATCCTCAAGGACGATGGGACCAATGTCAATGTCGTATTCCTCGTGCTTGGGGCCATAGATGACCATCGGGCCATGCGCACCACCAGAGTACTGAGCGCTGTAGTGGCCTGGAAAGGTCAGCATGAGATCCGAAATGTATCATCCAGCTGTTATAAACTTACTGTGATACCACGATGTTCCGTAACGGTCAGCGCGGAACAGCATCTCCTGGTAGCCACCGTTGGGCACAACAGGGCATTGGGCTACTGCCGGGACACCATCATACCAACTGGTTGTCGTCTGCAAAAGACCGTGCGGGTGTAGCGTAGTGCCTTCGTCGGTAAGATCGTTGGTAACTCTCCACAGAATCCAATCACCCCTGCAAGCTGTTAGCGAGGGCACGAAGATCACCAAGGTTTATACATACCAGTTGGCTTCGATAAGCGGTCCTGGAAATTGACCGTTGACAGTCAATCCATTCCTGGTCACACCATCCGGTGCGATGGTCTGGTAGGCCACATGGAGATCATAAGTTCTCGTCACTCCAGTGTCAGGCATGGTGGGACAAAGAGGATCTGCCACAGGGGTGGTGGTAGGTCCACCGGTGGGTCCAGCAGTGGGTCCACCGGTGTAGGTGTTGGTCGCGTTAGAGGAAACGTGCCCATGACCTCCATGTCCATGACTTCCATGTCCGTGACCGTGACCATGACCTCCCGCAGTAGGGTACGGAGGGTTTACAATGGACTTGGTAGGGAATGAATACGAGCCATTTGAGTGACCACCGGGGAGGCCATTGATTGGGAGATGGGGGGTATCGATCGAACCCCACTGAGAGTTTCCGCATTGCTCAACATTTGGCAGAGCAGGGATGAGCTTGTCAGTACCCTTGGGGATCCAGCATGGCCCATCGTACGAGTCTTTCGCTGGGCCACCGTATGGGAAAGGAGCAGAAGGCCGAGGAGGAGGGTAGAGTTCACCGTGAGAGGGCGTTCCCGGCCAAACAAATGGAAGAGGCTCATCGTTGTAAGGATTGTAGTAAGGTCCGCCGTGTCCATGAGGATTGGTGGTGGGCCTTGCGGTGGCGTATTCTGTGACTGTAGCAGTCACAACATTACAAGCGGACGGGGCGCGAAACTCGGCAGGTGTAACTGCGGGATACACAGAAGAAAGGGATGCCGTTGCGGCAAGGTAAGGACTGTAGGCGACCATGGCGTAGCAATAAACAGATGGGACAAGTACAACGGCTGGGTACTTGCTCTGAGAACGACCACAAAAGAAACGAGTGACTGTGTTAGGAAGAGACTGGCCTGGTCGATCGAATTGTTGAGGGACAACGCCATCTATAAATGATCATCTCTGAGCTGAGGTTTGCCTTAACTCCATCTCCTTTGTTGAACTATGGTACTGCGTATACGGCCTGCCCAAGGCTAAGCCCGAAGGATAGAGACTTGAGACACTGGCATCGTGAATAGTTACTTGAAAAGGAAATCTAGAGATGTAGCGAGGGCCGATCCTCACCTTGTGGACGTTATCAGCAAATGGTATCAAGAGAAAAGCGAGGTTGAATTTCTTTTTCAGCGTTGATATGGATGCCATGGAACGCCACACAGACGTCTAACCCTTTTGGCGAACACGAGATCAGCCACCCAATACCAGCACCACGTATATCGGTATATGATCTGCAGAGAGTCAAGTCGTGGCTTCGCTTGTCGTTGCTCGTCACAAAAGGAATACGCGGCATAAAGTGCCGGTACCTGCATCAGGGGACAAGCGAACGTGAGGCTGAAAGTCGCCAACGTCACAAGCTCGCGTGCGCATGAAGGCACAATACACCTACGCTGTTCACAACGGAATCAATGAGCGGGCATCCTAAAGTATATTTTGATAGTAGTCGTATAATATGACACTCCTGATCGCCATGGCGTGTCGGCTGGCGGAGAGCCTACGTACGGCTAGTCAGGGCATTTCGTATTGCTGTGAACGCGGGGCATTTCTTGGGGCGCCGGATGCTTGCGGGAATTGCCATAACGGCAGCCCGCGAAGCCTCTGCGAGTATGGACGCTTGTTCGAGTTTGTGGCGATGTGGAAAGCCCAATGGCGCAGCGAGAGAAGAAAAGGGCCGAGAAGTCGTTGTTTGAGATGTGAAAACAAGCTTCGCCTAGCCGTGCACCGGACGATCATGAAAGGGGCCGGAGCCCGGCTACACAGCATCCTTCAACTGTTCTGGAGTGTCAACGATGTCAAGTTCTACCACGGGGAATATCTTCCGTCATGCAGTGCATCTGAAACTCTCTAGTCGGTATGCTTTTTGTCCAATTGCCCCATCTTTTACGTATTGGAAAAACGACTTTATGGGTGAACCCCCTGCGTCTAAGGCCAGGCACCAAGTACTCGGCGTGTGATATGAATGCATAAAAGCTGATGCTGACGCGCCACATATTCGCTTGCTAGTGAGGCGAAGTGCTCTGGATGCCTAGTGTACTGGTGCTAGTATGTTAGCGCGTTAGGCAAAGAACTTACTACAATTTCCATATCGAATGGCTAGGCGCCAGGGCTTGCCCACGGGTACACTAACAAATGTCAGGTTCGGCTACAATGCATTGTCCTCAAATAGTAACAAGTGCTTTTCTCTTCCAATTACCCTGTACTGCGCCTCTGTATTCTTTAACTCTTAGTCTCGTTACCACAACATCTGCCAATTTTCTGGTGCAGCGCCTCAATGTGTGTTCTAACCTTCAATCTCGCCACCACAGCTTCAGCTCATCGTCAGGCATGATTACGTCTTCTTATCGGTGTTTGACAGTCACCGCTATTTCAAAATGTTGAGTGTTTGTGAGTGGCATCGGCTGTTGCCGCGATCCATCATCAAGCCATTATTGACCTGACATGTAGCCGTGTGTGAAAGTAGTGGGCGCGAGCCTGAGCCGTTGACACCGCTTGGCCATCAGACGAGTTCACGAGTTCTTGAGTCGGAAGACACGCGTTGAACCGTAAGCTGGTTGATGGTTGTCGTGACGAACAACTGAGCAGCAGCTATTAATCTGCTTTTCCGCGTCTTGTGTGTTATCCACTACTGCCACTGTGCCACGTACGTAAGTATGTGCAAGCGCGGGCTTTCGCAGAGCCTTTGACGGGGTTTGCCGTGCACTTTTCTCACAATATTTTTCCGCGATCTTCCCGAACCCCGACATCAGTTTAGATGGGCCTATTCCACCAAGTCACCGCATAGCAGCCAGTTGCATAGCGTCTCAGACTGTATACCGCCGATACTCTGGTTCAACGAGAGAGTTTCTTGATCCAGTATTACATGTATCCGGTACGGCGAACATCGAGAAGAAGGCGAGTCTTATGGGGTAACCGAGAGTGGGAGGGGTTGGCTTAAGAATTATGGCGAAGGGATGGAAGGGGAAATGGCTACAAAAGCTGTCAGTTCGTGGCTCGCAACGCCAAGTCAATATCGATCTATTGGCAGGCAGTCCAAACCCCACTCTCTTCAGTTGGACATTCGTGGTAGAATTGACGTGCCTTAGCACTGACCCCTAAATCCTTCCAGTCATAAGAGACGACGGGAGGAGACTTATTGGGAGCAATCTCCCACTTGCAAAATGCCAAATATAGTGTATCGGAGTAATATTTGGCCCTATCATTCGATACTAAAAGACTGTTTGCGGACCCACTTGTCGGAGATTTCGAACTATGAAGGGATAGTTTCCTTTATACCTAAGCCAGAGGACCCTAGAGAAGACTGCTAGAAGGTTGCTAGTTTGGGGATTGAGCGATTTATCGGGTTGGGATTGATCTCGACCGAGCGGGTACCAAGGGAGTGCTGGGAAAGTCACAAGTTACTCGATCACATGATGGGTGGCCGGACTAGTGTGAAGACCGGAGTACAAAGTCACGGATCTGTGGCAAGAATCGTAGTCAAGGACTTTTGGTCTTCACAAAGGTCGGCTTGTTGATACCATATTATGCGGCCATGGCCAAAAAGACATGACTATTGCACAATCTTCGATAAGGGAATGTGTAAGTAGGCCTGAAATCTCAATTGTCATTGCGATGGTACTGGGAGAAATCAGAAGATCAGTAAAGCCGAAGACTGAAACAATATGAACGAAACAGCGCTAAGCCTATGGGCGTCAGAATGCGGTTGGCGTAGAATGTACTTTACCGTCCATTTTAGCCGCTGTTCATGCGCTCTCATGTGAACGACATGTCGGCGCTAACAAGGGACAGAAATCCATGAAGCGACCCTGCACATGGTGTTTCGTCTGGATCCACTATAGTGTTTCAGCTTGGCGCGCGGAACATGTATACGTCCCTTCACCCCAACTGACGTACTCTCCGGTCAGCATTGGAATATGCCGTCGTGTATGACTGGGAGGTAGCCTTTTGGCTTTTATATTAGACTCGCAAACGGCATGCTTGTGCAGTTTGGGGTCGTGGAGCAGCTCTGTCTCTGGCATCAGGCGACTGCATCTTGACCCGCAGTGCAACTCATGGCGCAACCCTGTAAAATTGCATAGGATAGCCCATGATTAAAGCCACCCGCTCAACGTCATGGCATCATGGCTACGGGCAACCAGAGATTTCACGTGGCGGGCGAAAGCTAGTTTTGGGTGCTTACAGGCTGTTACACAGTAAGTAGACGTTGGCTGGCTGCGACAAGCCATCTACTCTGCAGCGTCGGGCATGACACGGCAGATGCCGGAATCCGCATACACGGCGTAGAAACAGAAATTGTGTTGTAGAATCAGTGAAGACGTACATATCAGTGACGATTGAAAGGATGGGGAGGGAGCCCCTGCAGTGCACCGAAATCTCGCCTATAGCATTATCAAACCAAGGCTAGTCCGGATTGGCCAAAGGCTGCCGGCGCTAGGCCACGTCGGACATCTGTCACTTCTCCACCACCAACCCGCCCGCCTGGTCGTGGCCCGCAGACTCCTCGTTAGGGCATAGCATGTGTTCCTTTGTCAATGTTTCCCGTCCGTTGCCTCAAACACGTTGCGCCCCCCTGTGCCGCTCTGGATATTGGATGCGTCGTCGACGAAACGGCTAAACACGCCTGTGCTAACTGGTTCTCGGCCCTCACGGCAGAGACTGACTCCTACGCGGAGCAATATAAACCATCATGCCCTTCACCCATGGAAACTCTAACGCAGCTGCGCTGGACATTCCTTCTTTGCAAGATTCGTCATTCTCTGCTTGTTTGTTTCTTTCAGTCACTCTTTCATCACTCAGTTGACCAGTCACTCATTCTCAACACCATCGCTACTACATCCCCGCCACCATATACAAGATGAAGACCGTCGCCACCATCGCCGCCTTGGCCGCCATGGCCAACGCCCACGCCACTTTCCAACAGCTCTGGAAGAATGGAAAGGATCTTGAGAGCACCTGCGCCAGGCTGCCTTCCACCAACAGCCCCATCGAGGACTACACCAGCAAGGCTCTTCAGTGTATGTCTTCTTTTTTCTTCTCTACCGCCAACATCTCTCGTACTAACACAATTTTAAAGGCAACGTCAGCCCTGCTGCCGCAAAGGGAAAGTGTGCTTTCGCAGCTGGTGACACAGTTACTATTGAAATGCACCAGCAGTTCAACAGCCGTGACTGCAAGACCGAGGCCATTGGTGGTGCTCACTGGGGACCCGTCCTTGCCTACCTGTCCAAGGTTGAAGATGCCGCCACTGCCGATGGTTCCAGCGAGTTCTTTAAGATCTACGAGAACACCTGGGCCAAGAACCCAGCCGCGTCTCAGGGAGACAACGACTTCTGGGGTACCAAGGACCTCAACTACAACTGTATGTTATTCATGCTTTTATACTCGACATCTCTGACAGAAATACAGGCGGAAAGCTCGACTTCACCATCCCCAAGGACCTCGCCGCTGGTGACTACCTCCTCCGCGCTGAGGCTATTGCGCTTCACGCTGCTGGCCCTGCTGGTGGTGCTCAGCACTACGTCACTTGCTACCAGCTTACTGTTACTGGTAGCGGTACTCTCGCGCCCAAGGGTGTCACATTCCCTGAGGCCTACAGCAAGACTGGCCCAGGTCTTGGTTTCTCTATCCACGCCAACCTTGACTCTTACCCTGCCCCTGGTCCTAAGCTGATTGCTGGCGGTACCAAGGCCACCCCCTCCCTCCTGACCTTTGGCACCCTTTCTGGTGCCCCTGCTCCTGAGGCTGGTGCTCCTGCTGATGACGAGACTCCTGTCGCTTCCGCTTCGTCTGCTGCCGCTTCCACTCCTGCTGCCACTCCTAGCAGCCCCGCCGAGGATGCTGAGCCCTCTGCTACCCCTGCTGAGACTCCCGCCCCTGTTGTTCCCTCTCCTGCTGCCCCCTTCCCTATCAGCAACGGCACTTCTTCTGCTCTCCCTGTCGTTACCTCTTCCAGCGCCGTCGCCTCTACCACCTTGGCCACCGCTGTCCGCCCAACCCCTACCGGCGATGCTAGCGGTGATGCTAGCGGCTCTGTTAAGGAATACTACCAGTGTGGCGGCATGAACTACAAGGGTGCGACTGAATGTGCCGAGGGCCTTGAGTGCAAGCAGTGGAACCCCTACTACTTCCAGTGCGTCAAGTCTGGATCCAGCAACGGTTCCCAGCCTCCCCCATCCAACAACGCTCCTTCCACCGGCGCTCCCTCTACCGGTGCTCCTTCAACTGGCGCTCCCTCCACCGGCGCCCCATCTGACAACGGCCCCTCCGACAACACCCCAGCCCCCAAGCCCGAGCCCACCAACGTCACCCCCGAGGCCGCTCCTTCCGCCGCTCCTTCCGCCCCCGCCGCTGGCGCTGGTGAGAAGAAGTACACCCTCGAGACCTTTATTGCCTTCCTTGAGGAGGAGGCTGGTGCCGAGAAGGCGGCCAAGATCCGCCGTATGATTGAGGCTCTTCTCTAAGCCGTGTATCCCCCGCCTGCCGGGATAAAACATCTTTTGTATATATAACACCTTTTTAGCCTAGATGGTGATTTCTTCGATTCTTGTAGCGATGTTTTTATCTTGAATGACGAATTCTTTTGCATATATACTTTGAGCTTCTTCTGTGCATGTCTGAGTGAAGTTGTGCTTGTTGTTGAATGATGAAGGGGTTATGCATGTCTCGGTGGACTTGAATAGTTGAATGAGAAGTGGTCCTAGCATAACGGTATGGTCGTTTAGCAGCACCTATATTACGCACTTTTAAGCTGTTAGAAACAACCAGATCGACGATGCTAGACCTATTAAGAACCCCTGGACTTTACTGCACAATATTATGATGTTAGTATTGACGCTAGCTGGAACTTGGACAGATGTTCAAGAAAGTCTCTATCGTACTACTTCGATCCAGCAAGAAAATACCAATCGAAAAGGCAAGCAAACACACACAAACGAGACACACGTGCACATTGATAAATGAGGTCATCAGCATTACGATTAAAGACAAAGAGCTACTCATCAACCCTTACCCACCACCACCCTTTCGCATCCAAACTCACACCCTAAACTTCTTCACCACCCCATCCGCACTCTTACGACGTTTCGTCTTACTAGCCGGAACAAGACCCGAGCAATCCTGCAAATTACTCGTGTCGACACCCACAGTCGACATCTTGAACCACGCCGGGACAAAAGCTTGCGTCCATGCATCCGTAGAATCGATAAACGAATCCCAGATATCCGCCGTCTGTATCATCTCATCAGTATACAAACCCCTTCTTTCGATAATAATAATAGTAGTAGTGGAGAGAAGGGTTTAGGGAAAAAAAATAATGGGAAAGGAATGGGAAAGAGGGAAAAAGGGGTAGAGTACACACCTCATTAAAATGCGCCAAGGCAAAATCACTCTGCAGCGTATACGGCGCCGTCCTAAACTTTGTCTGATTATAATACAAAGTATCGTACCTCGACGGCGTACTATCCAACCCTTTCCCCGCCTGCTTCGGATCATCAAATAACTGCACCGCCACACTATGCGTGCCCAGCAACGCAATCATTTCCTTTGCCGAAATGCCCAAGGCACGGAAATCTGCAATCAGCTTTTCGGGGGAATCGCTGCTTTCGAGGAGGGAGCCAACAGGTGCGGCTTCCGCTTTGTCGGGGCGGCCCACGAATGCTTGAACGCGTGGGCCGAGCGGGCAGGCAGAGATGGCGAGGGCGGCGCCGAATTGGATGATGTCGGCTGCGCCGACGTTGAATTGGGTGCGCATGCTGCGGAGTGTGTTGCATGTGTCATTGAGGCCGCGGTTTTGCGTAGCAGAGCATTCGTCGGTGAGGATTATGCTGCCATCGCAGCCGGAGTTGCAGTCATGGAAGGCAAGGCGGATCAGGGTGTGGGCGAATTTGCCGCATGAGGTCAGTTGTTTTTCGAAGGAGGCGGCTACGTCGGTCCAGACGGAGGGACAGGCGCTTTGTCGTGGGAAGAGGCTGAGGGCAGTGATGGGGGTTGTTGTTGCCGTGAGAATGGCGAGGACTGGGGTTGTGGGACGCATGGTTGTGAAGGGGAGTGGGTGTTAATGGATAATAGATCAAAGTAAGATGAAAGGGAATAGAATGTATGGTGTTAGGAATTATTAATATTATACCATATCTTGATGGCAGTCCAAGAAGAATAACTACCTGATGTTAATGAAAAAATGAAGTTAAAAAACCTGATATTTATATCATCGATTGAAATTGAAACCATCGTGAGAATATTGATAAAGTCCGCGCTCCTCCGATCTACAGGGTTCGCTCTTAGTCATCTTGATGTGGGTGTTTCTACGCATTTGCAAGGGATGCTGACAAGAAGCATGGAAATGGTAGGACGAATAGATCATAATGGTCCTTGACCCAACCTTCCCCACGGGGAATCAATTTCCCTTCATCCTAGTTGAATTCTCATGCTACTCGCAAGCTTTACTTACCTCGACCTAGAATTCATGTCTTTGATCCCGTTTGACTATGTCGTTTACTAAGTTCATAGGCACCCTTCTTGGCGACGCGTGGTGATGGCATTGGCGAACAACCAAGGCTCATTGGTCGATGATTGCTGATACTATAGTATTCAAGCGACTACCAGCGAGGAGAGTAGGACCGACTGGCTTATTCATAGACCTGGCGCTGACCTGTACTTAATACGGAATGCACGATGTGAGATACGGCGCATCGGGCCGGTAATAGCCCGGCTTCGAGCCTTAGGACTGTCAAGAAGTGGCATAGTAGAATGGGCCTATTCTAGGATCTCATCGTAGACAGCCTGTCGAACTTTGTAATTTCGATAGCGGCTGACTGCTCGTGCATGCGTATACATACATCGGCTGGAAGATTAACGTTTTGACATGACGGAATGGGGTGGTTTCCTATTCTGCAAAAGGCTGCTGTGTTAGCAACTGGTATCACTCAGGTCCGGGCGTACTGAGTGTCGATCTGTTTTTCTAGAAGGGATGGCAATGATCTTTCTCGCGACCATGACATTGCTTGGCGTGCTTGATGGTCTCACTCGCCAAGTAAGAAACCCCTTGAGATGCCTGCATAACAGGCCCCCATGTTCTACGTCTGTTCTCCGATGCGAATGATCGGCTATCCGAGCAGCATGATTGGGCGATTCACAAGCGAGATTACAGATCGATGTCGAATTAAGCTTCAACCATAAATATAACTAGCATTGTGGGAAGAGTATTGAATTTGACGTTGGCACTCCTTCAGCTGAACTGGGTACACTAAAAGCCATTGGGGAAGATGTCAGACCGCCGGAAGAAGCGGATCACAGGTGATGATTTAGTCGACTAGCACAAGACTTGAGGTAGTCATGTTGCACGGGAGGTTTTTGCTCACTGCATGGAGTACCTCGGGACGCAGTCTGGATCGCGCATTGTCGCCTTTCGCGATTTTTGTTGAGGTGTAGACCGGCTTTTGTTAATGCGTGTGGTTATGATCACGGCAGGGTGCGGTGATGCAGTGGCCACCAATGGCAATTCAATCGTCAGATCGACGGTGAAAGGGTGAACCGGGCAGCCGGGGGGAGCCGGGAAAGAGGGAACTTGACTGGACATGGCACGTTGGTGCATGACTTAGAACAATGCGGCTCTAGGTAGACAAATCGCGCGTCTTTCCTCTCTTGCATAAACTTTACTCTTCCACGAACAGCACATTGCCAAAACGAGATTATTCTCTTGTGCCGTATCACCCACTCACATCCCTATCAGGTAGGCTTCCATATACTTTTTCGCCAACTGCGGTGACATCAACGGTCTAAGAGTGCTCAAGAAGCTATTGTCTGGCTGACGATGACAGGAGGAGGTCTGCCGTGTCTGTTCAGCCACAGGACTGCAGGCGGTTGTCCCAGCATGACGGATGCCGTTGTCTGTGACCGAATGATTTGCTTGGACAACTTCAAATCCCTTCCACTCCCGTGACTCGGTGGAGCCAATCAGACACGTTTTGGTGGTCTTTATCTACATTCCAAGCGAAGTCCGGACGACCTACCATTCGTGCCTTGATTGACAGGCTAACCCAGCGGTCCTCGAATGCAATCAGGCGGAAATACCTTAGTTTCTGGCATACCTTTAGAGCGCCCCCAATTGGACACCACTTATCGGTTGAAAGCTGGATATGGGAAAGGACGATGCATTGAAGTGATGAAGAATATGTTCGGATCAGATCAGCCAAGTCTTTCCCATGCGGTGCACAGTTTATAACCTCGAGTGTCTCAAGACATGGTAGTCGACAGGAAGTGGCTAGATATTTGACCACGATGCCACCAAACGAAGCCGACGGCCACTTTGCGCTGACACGATCCAGACTCAGAGTCAGCTTCTTGAGGTTAGGTGCAGCAGCAATGAAACCACAAATACCGCTGGCCCACCCATCTGGGCGCAGGGCCTCGTAACCTGTCATGATTGATAATGTGAGCGACTGGAGATTGGAAAAGCAATGCTGCAGCGCCTGTAGAGAGAGTGGACCCAGTTGGAAGGCCAGAAACGAAAGATCAACCGGTTTGTACAAAATCTTGCGGCTTTTTCTTCTAGCCATGCTGAACTCTTCCAGTTTGGTCTTGCTGTGGGTAATAGCGTAGATGACGGCTTCAAAACACCTGCTTCGAAAGAGACTATGAGGTGTTTCGCTGCGTTCCCATATATACGATGCAGACGGCTTCATACTAAGTTGGATGGTTTTTAATTGAGGCAGACCTTTGAGAACTTTCAGAAGCCCGTCGTACAGGCGCGAGGGGTGTTCGTGGTGCAGTACGTAGGCATATGTGGCCGCCTCATCATTGACGTTGTTGTCTCTTACACCTAACACTCTAGGAAATCGCTTTGGTGGAGGAAATCGACCCACACGGCTAATTGCATTCAGATTTGCGTATTCATCTTCGTTCAGGAGCCGGATGTGGAGAGTTTTGACGGCATTCCGAAGACCTTGATGGCTCGACACCTTGTTGAGGCGATCAAGTGATGATGGGCTGAGAGTGGTAACTTGCTCGGAAAAGGCGAGACGCACAAACTTTGCATGGACGAGCTGGTAAAGCTGTTGCGAAGCTAGACGGAGGCTTTGGTATTCTGGTAGACTGAAATCGGCAGCAATCATATCAAACAACTCAACAGGTAGGCTCTCTAACGGCGACTTCATAGTGAAAAGTGGAAATGAAAGCGAAGAGGACATGAGATTTTACAGCAAAAGGTATGCTGATGTGCAATTCATCAAAGCTGCCAGGCTTTGATTGAGGAGGCGGACGGAGATGATGTTGTGGATTGAAGGGGGTGATTGACGCACAGGCCAGCAGGCTTTGCCCAAAGAATCATGTCAGCGTGAACCCCGCGGGAGAGACGGCAGCCAGCGAGCGACCACGTCTTTGACCCCAACGACGCTCCTTGTGAGTGTACGATATCCTCACAGTCTCTTACTTGGACCGTCACTTGTTTCCTTTTTTTTATACACACACCCACACACACGCTTAAGCTTACTCAACCACGACAGCAACCGAGACGCTGCGAGCGGGTGCACAAGGCTTTTGCAGCTCACCTCAGCACGTCAAAGCCTTGCACAGCATCGACGACGGCAGCAGCAGCAGCAGCAACACCAACCTTCACCCACAGTCATGGACTCGATGCGAAGTCTCAACACGTCGCTGCCCAAGACGAGGCGGCAGCCTGACGTGCACCAGTCGTTCCGTACCGCAGCCTTGAACGTGACCAATCTGTACAAGTCCGCCCTTGCCGACCTTGACAGGGCCCGCGCAGACGGCTATCAAGAAGCTCTCGATGACCTACTGGCCTATCTGGACAAGGAGAACATTGGGGCAACCGGAGGAGAGAGCAACAGAATACGGCAGTGGGCGACGGAGCGCTTGGATGGATCTCTGCCCAAGCAGTCGGGCAGCGAGAGTGAAGAAGAATACCTCGATGATAAGCGCGCCCGCAGCTCGTCACCCATCATGGAGCGAAACCTCAGCCCAGACGATTCGCACACTCTCGACCCTGTCATGGAGACAGCAGACCGCTGCGACTCTGCGCCCCCTGTCCAGATGGAGGCCACAACAACCGAGGCTGACTTGTCGCCCTTGCACCACGTTTTCCAGTTTTCCACGCCCCAGGCCTTCCCGTCCGAGACAACAAACGACAACAACGCCACGGATGTATCAGCCGCTGCTCGCCGCGCATTCCCTAATCCCCGACGATCTTCAAACCGCTCGACTGGACGAAACCTGCAGCGATCGGCTGCTCAAAATCTGTTTCAACTCGGCACTGGCGCAGGGCAGAAGCGACGGCTCATGAACGACTTTTTCAACGTGGACGGATTCAACGACCGGCGGGACGGCTCTTCCGGGGGACCTAAGCGGGGGCGCATGTCCTGAGACGGCTGGCCAGGGCAGTCTGAAGATATGGCGTCCAAGGAGGATTTGCAACGAGGAGAGCAAGCCGGTGGACGAATCACGAATCACGAGTAATTGCATCATACCCCCCCGACGGCGCAGTGGGCTTGTTGACGATTGTATGCATTGGGTGGAGCAGGCTTTAATAGACGCATTCTCTGGTGTTTATTACTTTTCAGGGCATATACCTTTTCGCATTTCTTGTTTGCGCGGCGGCGATTTCATGTAATCGAGTGGCGGAGTTTAGTGGAATGAGAATGGATTTGGGTCTTAATGTGATATTTTGAGTCCCAATGGGGCATCTGATGCTTTTTGTACTTTTGAAATGTGCTGTTGAAGGCGTTCTGGTCAAGGTGAAGGTGATGGTGGTGGTCGCGAGGCCGATGAGATGAATGGGCAGGTCACGTGCGTCCTAGGAAAACCAGCGATAGATGCCCAGGCCGACCATGATGGCGCTGGTGCCGGTGATGGCCATGTGTCTACTGCGCACCCCAAAGATGCTGTTGCTGGCTCGAATCGCAGCTTGATTGGCGCGGATCTGCGAGTGGCCAGAGACATAGGTAAAGGCACCCAAGCCCAGAAATGTTGCGCTGCCTGCAGGTCGGCATCAGCACATGGACTTGATCAGCGCAGGCCTGGGAGCAAGCATACCAACCACGCGACAGGGCGTGCAGTCTTCAAACTGGGCGCGGTCCTGCTTCAAGGCTTGTTGGAACGTGGGCGTATCTGCATCTCGTTGCGACATGGTTGCAGGTAGGGGTCAATAAAGGTATGTGTGGAGTACGTGTATGCCTATCTTGTATGTACAGTGCAAGCCTCGCCCTAGGCTGCTCAAGTTCCCCACACTCTCACGTCGTCGCGCGCGTGCGCAGCCTCACGCCGACACTCGTCCACCATGAGCGCGATTGAGGCTCTCTACCTCTTTGATGAGCACAAGTAGCCCATCCCTCCTGCCAGCCCCGTTGGTACCACGCGGCTAACTCGCCTCCAGCACGCCGCTTCTGGAGCACGTCTACGCCAACCGCCCGCCGCCCGCCAGCTCCCTCCTCCCCCTCTATCTCGCCCATCCCGCCCCACGTCCGCCCTTGATCTACCTACCCAACACCAACCCGCCCACTCTGCTCTACTCCATAGTCCAGGACCAGCTGCTGTTTCTCTGCCCCTCTTCTGCAGACACCGATCCCCTCGCCATCCTCACCTTCCTCCACCGCCTCACCGATGTCCTCGAAGACTTCCTCGGCTCGCCCTTGCTCGCCTCCAAGATCGAAGCAAACTACGATGTCGTCGCCCAGCTACTCAGTGAAATGGTCGACGGCGGTATCATTGCAAACACCGAGCCCAATGCGCTGAGAGATGTCGTCGAAGCCCCCAACCTGCTCAAGAGTCTGTTGGGCGGCGTTGGATTGCCCTCCTCAACCCCCAGCTCACTAACGCCCTCGTCCACAAGTGCGTTTGGTCTTGGTGGTGGAAGACCAAGCCCAAGACTAGGTCCCTCGCTATCCTCCAACCAGACAGCGTCACCAGTCCCATGGCGAAGAGCAAATGTCAGGCATACGAGCAACGAAATGTACGTCGATATCGTCGAGACACTTGAAGTCACATTATCGCCCTCTGGTCGACCCTTGGCCGCAATGGCAAACGGCACCATTGCATTCACAGCAAAAGTCTCGGGTGTCCCAGATCTCATACTACAGTTGGGCTGTGCCGGCGGTATCCAGAACACCGTCTCCCTCCCAGTCTTCCACCCGTGCGTAAGGCTTAACCAGTGGAAGGCTCGACCTGGAGAACTATCTTTCGTCCCACCAGACGGCCGCTTCGTGCTAGCAGGATACGAAGTCGACCTACTCGGCTCGTCCGCTCTGGACGCCTTCTCAGCAGATAAGTCCGCCAGGAACGCCATGCCCAAGCTCAGCATCCCCGCCACCGTATCAGTCCACCCATCTCTCGGCCCAACCGGCTCAGACTTTGAAGTAAAACTCCAGATCAACCCCCGCTTCACCGGCAAATCCTCGTCGCAGTCCAGCGCCGCAAAAGCCAGTCTAGCACGTGCCTCAGCCTCAACTGGCACCACGTCGGCGCCCGCCATCGAGGAAATGGTCATTCACATCCCCTTGCCTGCAACCGTCAAGAACGTAGTCGATATCCGCGTGGCGCGCGGCATGGGCGACGCCGGCTACGCGCCCGGCGACCGAGCCATCGAATGGCGCGTCAGCAGCCGCGAGGTAACAACCCTCATGTCGCAAGACCGCGGCGCAGGCATGGGTGTCATAGCCACGCTCCGCGGTACCGTCATCGGACAAGACGATCCCTCTGCTGAAGACGGCATCGACGCAGGCGGCCCTGTCTCGTTCTCCACATCAACGTATGACTACGATGACGATGCCCATAATACTTCTTCCTCTGCAAACGCTGGTCTCCCTGCATCTTCTGGGCTATCCGGTAAACCAGATTCCGATGCAAAGATTAAGCAGGCGAATAAAGTCCTCATGCCGAGTTGTGCTACGGTTAGCTTCTCCGTCAAGGGATGGCTGCCCAGCGGTATTAAAGTAGAGAGTCTGAATGTTGATCAGAGGAAGAGCAAGGGCTTGGGCAGCGGTGTTACGCCGTACAAGGGTGTCAAGTATCTTTGTGTTAGTCGCAAGGGTGTAGAATGTAGATGTTAGATTTTGACAATGATTGCTCCAAAAAATGTCAAATATGATGCATAATGAAAAGTCTTCTTTTTCCTCCAAAGAAAAGACTGGTTTCTTACTGTTTGGTGATTAAGACTTTTTTGGATCTGTCTCAGTTTACACGTTTGGTCAAGTAGCAACAATTCATGAAAAACAAGTTGTCATTTGTTTGGAATATTGGGAACGGTATATGGTCTATGTGCCCCCCCCCCTTCCACTTTCAAATGAGCACTCAAAGCACGACTCTATATACCCACAATTGTAAGCTGTATATGTATATATCCCAGCCCACAAGTCAATCGACACAAAAGAAAAAAGAAGACAGACGAAATCACTCTTCCCCAGAATCATACCACCTTATCGTGGTACCACCCTACTTGCGTGCCCGAATAGCGCCCATCTTCCTCTCAATCTTCTCCACCTTTGCCCTCAGTGCTGGGTAGGTGGCAGCCAACTTCTCCAACATCGTCGTGCCCTGTACATTACCAGCCGCCTTCTGCATGGCGAGCTTATTGGCAAGGCAATCGAACACCGGGTCGTTCTCTGGGTAGGCAAACTTGCACATCAGATCCATAAACTCAAGGGAGACGTCCTTGCTACGAATACGTTCGCAGAGGTGCTTAGTGAAATGACCAACATAGGTGTTGTTGAGGCCCATGACACGCGCGGCGCGGCAGATCTGGATGTTCCTGTAGTCGTTCACTGGTGCCGAGTTCAGTGAGACGGAGTAGACACGGCCCTGGTATGCCATTTCGTTCATCCAGTTAAGGAGAGACTTGGCGGCCTCTGTGTCCATTGAACCTACAGGGAAAGACCACAAAGTTGCGCCCGGATTGGTCTGGAAGTGTTGGAATGCCTTCCCGGAGCATTGCATCAGGATATACTGAGGGAGGGTCTTGAGCTCGACGTCGCCGAGCTTGAAGGAAACGTCTGGACCATTTCCGTAAAGAACACGCTGAGTAGACGGCATGTGTCGAATGTCAGCCGAAGGGTTGAAATTGGGCTTCACATCCGTCTTGACGCGTGCCTGTTGTGGTGACCGATTCCACGACGTAGCGCGACCGTTCTTGCCTCCCATGAACCCTGGAGATTGTTCTTGGTTCTTGATAGACACAACAGTAGTAGGTTTCTTCCCATATTTGGACATATCGATGGAAAATGTCAGTATCCTTGGCTTGGGAGCAGGAGGGACAACCTTCAAAGTCTCTTTGCTCACGAATGTCGGGGAGTCGGTGTCGTGAGAAGATGGACCTTTCACAGACTTCTCAGTCTGACCATCTTTAGTCTTGTCGGTGGGAGCAAGCTCGGTAACTTTGGAGACAGCCCCTTTGGACTTTGGCGTCTCGACACCTTCGGGCTTCTCTGGAGCAACAGTTGACGTAGTAGTCTTGGCCTCGGGCTTGGGCACCTCAGTATTCTTTGCATCGTTGCTCTCAGTGGATGATTGGGTGTCTGAACAGGACGTCTGCTTGGGGTCTTGTGTCGCAGTGAGTTGCTTCAATGCGGACTCCAGGCTCTGAATACGGTCGTCCTTCTCGGTAGACTCGCGGTACAACTCCTGGAGTTTGACGAATTGTACGTGATTTTCCTTCTCCAACGTCTTGATGGTGTATTCTTTCACTTCTATCTCCTCTTCAAGACCTTGAATCTGCTCGTGGTTGTTTCGTGTAGCGACTACTAGCTCGGCAATGCGGAGATCCTTCGTGACAACGGTCGCCTCCAGTTCCTTGATCAGCTCATCCTTGACTTTGGTAGTGGTCTCTAGAGAAGAGACGGTCGGGTCGTCTTTCTGGGGTGCCAACAGGGCGAGAAACTTCTCATCTTCCTCCTCATCTGCCCAACACACCTTCTTGACACCGGGAGTGGCAAGATCAACGCCGTTTTCATTGGTCAGACTGTTTCTGGCGCGTGCGTTGTTTATAGTCTTCGAGAATAACCCATTCTTCTGCTGTATGAGAGAGCTGTCGTTTGACTTGTTTGGTGATTTGACAGATGTGGCGGTGGGCGAATTTGGAGAGGTAACAATTTGCTTGCCAGCAGCCCAGAAAGCATTTCCGTTTGGCATTTTGAGAGGAATTGCGATGTGCGTATGTTGATGGGATACTGAAAAGTTTGTTGTTGGAGAGGAAGTGATGAGTCGATGAGGAAAGAACCTGAGCAGTGAGTAGCAGAAGTGAGTTGAGGAAAGAGAGTTTTTGATGGGTAGAAAAGAGAGAGAGCAAGCATTGAATAAATACTGAGTAGAAAGCGGTTGTGAAGCGGCTAGGAGTTCGCAAATTTTCAATCGAGTGAAAGCACAAGCGCAGGCTCCACCGTGTTGTTTAATAAGTGAAGGTAGGAAAGCGCGTCACACGACGGACCTTCCTTGCAAGGAGATTATAGTCTAGGTGTGAAAGCGCCAGAATTCACGATCTGCATACCTATTCTCTTGAATAGGCATTCCTAAAAGGCCAGCAAACGCCTGTAATCACGCCCGAATTTAAAGCGAGTCACTGTAAAAGAGTGACTAATTGGAGTGGACTGACAGACGCACGTGATGACATGTTCACCCTTCGACTCCCATTGACACCTTGACCCATAATCTGAGATTGAATTATGTGGCAAAGAGTTAGCAAGTCATCGCGCTGTGTGAGAGTGGTCCATTCCCTCAATTCTAATCTTACCATGGTGTTCCGACTCTTTTGCAACACTGTATCACTGAGAGTAGTCGGCTTCGCACTCTCAATTTCACAATCACGAGAAACACACCAAATATGCGACAGTATAGTCGAGAATTAGGCGTTCATATAGAATAATGAACAATGTGCACACAGTCAACCAAGGACGAAGTCCTGCTTCTTGCGAGCAACAAACAACACACTTGGAGTAATTTCTTGAAGTCAGCTCGAGTTCCAACTCGAGGTCACACACGAATAGTAAACAAACAAGCTGTAAGTCAACACAATCTTACTTGCATCTATGTTACAAATTCAAACATGACGCAAATAAACAAATCAGTCCTCGTCCCCGCATCCGAAGTCCGAGCCGCACCAGCCAATAGATACGCGATAAAGGCTACATAAACATATATTCTCAATTGAAAAGTAGACACAGCCTTGCGCAAAGAGAAATAGAATCAATTTCCTTCGCATCACAGCACTTCCTCACCTCCACGTACCCCAAGTCACACAATCGCAAAACCCACAATGTCACTCCAACCGCGCAACCTCTTCTCCCACCTCCCACCCCCCGCCGAATGCCTCGCCCTCTTCATCGCAACCCTCGAAATCTTACCCTTTGGCCTCCTCGGCTTGCGCAATCCCACCTCCTTCGCCGACGGCTACGGCCTCCCAATCACTACCACACTCCCACCACCATCATCCACCACTTCATCTTCCAAATCAACAAAACGCACATCTACATCTACATCTACAGCATCACAAAACAAACAAGACGACGACACAAAGAAAGCCCTCGTAGCAGCAATCGCAGCGCGCAACGTGCAAAATGGAGTGTTACTAGCGGTGTTTGGGTTGGTGCTGCGGGATCGCAGGAGTTTGGGTGTTGCGGTTTTGGCGGGGTTGGTAGCGACGGTTGCAGATACAGTGATTGTGCAGGGGTATGGGGTTAGGGATAAGGTTCTGGGGCATTATGTTGGCGTTTTTAATAGTCTAGCGATTGGGGGCAGTTTGTTGTATTGGGGGCGGAATGATCCGTTGTGGTGAGTTTTGGGGGTGACTTGATTGTGTTTGGCGCGTCGAGTCAGTGCGGGTGTGGTGAAATTGGAGTTGTGAGTTGGGGAAATGGGAGTAAGAGAAGGTGCTTTGAGTATTATGGTTGAAGTTGTAGTATGCGTCAAATCATTTTTCTTTTGATGTTTCACAATATTTACACTGTGTTGATTGGTGTTTACCTATGTAAAGACCGTCTTTTTCATATCGTGGTTCAATCAGAGTTGTCCGTGTATGTACAACTTGTTGACTTTAAGCAGCCAAACATATCGACGTGTGACTTTGGAGACATATTTCACCCTACCAGAACGACTAAATTTAAAAAAAATCCATTTTGGAGCATACGGAACTAAAGAGTTACCAGGCCCAAGCAACCGTAGTACGTCTAGTCTGCATAGTTCCTGAAAGAGCATACTAGCCGGCACCGCGGGGTACCAGGAACCATCAATTGCCCCTCCAAAAGTTTCCCATCCTCGTCTCGCATCTCCCATTCAACAACCACAATCTCTACTTTCCCCCTCTTCTCTCTTCACACCCTCAAAAGATAGGAAAACATCAAACATGACAGGCCCCACGCACCTCGACCCCTCGGAATTAGGCACAAAATCCTACTGGGACGCAGCCTACACAACCGAGCGCAAAAACTTTGTCGCAAACGCCTCAGACGAAGGCACAATTTGGTTCAGCGACGCCGGCGCAGAAGAGCGCATGCTGTCTTTCCTCGAAGACCTCAGCGACGAAGGCCAAATACATAAAGAAGACGATGAGGAAAACAAGGGCGCACGATTTCTAGATCTAGGCACAGGAAATGGACATTTGCTGTTTGCGCTGCGCGAGGACGAGTGGTCCGGAGAAATGGTTGGTGTGGATTACTCGACGGAAAGCGTTACACTTGCGACGTCGATTCGAGATGCGAAAGACGAGGCGTATGCGGATATTGCGTTTTATGAGTGGGATATCTTGTCACAGGCGCCTGGTGCGTGGTTGGGTGAGGGCTTCGATGTTGTACTGGATAAGGGCACGTTCGATGCGATTTGCCTGTCGCAAGAGCAGGATGCACAGGGGCGCAGAATATGTGAGGGATACAGGGAAAAGGTTGAGCCGTTGGTGAAGAAGGGGGGAAGGTTTCTCATTACGAGCTGCAATTGGACAGAGGAGGAGTTGAAAGAGTGGTTTGGAGGCGGAGGATTGCAGTTTGATGGCAAGGTCAAATATCCGAGTTTCACGTTCGGGGGCAAGACGGGGAGCAGTGTGGTTACACTCTGCTTCAAGAGGGTGTGAGTGGTTCTTTCTGCTACGATCGAACGAGTCGCCGTAATCGCGCAACAATGAGCCACTTTTTCCGCTCGCCCATATTCTCCTGGCCGCCATCGCGCTCCTTTGCCCACGGCCGCCGCTGTCCGTCTGCGTCCATTTCGTAGACTTCCTCGATCTCGAGCCCTTGCTCTGGTACAACCTCCTCAAAGAAAGGCGCAACCTTGGCACGACCTGTGTGGAAACCCGCAATACAATATACACGCGCGTCAGGCGTATCTGCGAGGAAGTGTAGCATCGACTTTGCGAGGTTCTCATGCTCTCCAGGCATCCAGAAGCAGTCTGCTGCGAGTATACGTGTGTAGGTATGGGCTTTCGACGATTCGAAGGCTGTGGAAGTGGAACCCCATTCATGGCCTTGGATGGTTACTCGAGATTGTAGAGTAGCCGGTATGTTCTTTGCAACGTTCGCCTTGAGGGTATCGAGGATTGGAGGTGCTGGGTAATCGGTGATGGCGACCTAGCAGACGGTCAGTCCAGACACACTCGCAACCAGATAGATAGCCACAAACCTCTTTGGCACCCGCCAATGCGCTCAACATCCCACCCAATCCTACGCCTGATCGGGCAACATACCATCAGCCCTCTGCTCACAGTCATGTCTTTTCAATCCAACCCACCTGCGCCCAGCTCCAATACCGACTCGTCCTTGACACTCCATTTTTTCTCCTCTTCCTCACTAGTCCACCATTGGCCGTTCTCCCAGCGTGTGAACTCGTCGTTTTCTATCTTCTTAACGGACTCCTCTTCTCCATCCTTAGGCCGTCCAGTGACTAACTCTGCCATCATGATGCCAGCATTCCATAGGTAGTGGGCAAACTTGCGCCTCTGCTCCTCGCCATTGAAGTCGGCCGTCCTCAACACCAGCTCGCCATATTTGTGATTTTGATATAGAATGAGGGTTTCTGGGTTATCGCCGTGCTGGTTCTGCAGGTCGTCTGTGAAAATGCCGCCTAGCGATGAGCCAAAGATGTCTTCGGGTGTGAGGGTCGCGTCAGCCGGGTGGCGGAGATTGATGAGCGAGGGCAGGCGCATAGGCATTGCGAAGAATGCGGGACAGCAGTCTCGAACACCAATTGATGTTGGATTGGTGTGTGTATATGCGGCTGAATGATGCGCGTGTGTGGCGGCACTACATACACGACGGAATCTGATGGCGGGGCAGACGGACATGCAAGGGCCCCGCTTTGCAGGGATGAGATGGACGCGTCCAACCCAATCGTGAGATCATCAATTGCCGAGGACGCAGAGACCGCTGTTTGAGCCTCAGGTGGTCGACTTTGACTGTTCCTCCAGACACCACAACACATTGGCTCGACGCCTACACCACCACCACATCCACACTACGACTGGCATTGCGCAACACCGCCACCATGTCGCTATCGTCGTTCAAAAACCCGACGACGTACCATTTGCTGAGGTACCTTCACCGCAGCCCCGCTACCACCACCCCGTCGCATTCATGTTAACACAACACGCAGCTATGGCACTCTTCTCGGCTCCACGCTCTTCCAATCCTTCATCTCTGGCGTTGTCGCCTTCCGAGTCCTGCCCCGCTCCCAGTTCTCCCAGCTGCAAAAAAACACCTTCCCCATCTACTTCTCCCTGCAGACTGCTCTCCCCGTCGCAATGCTGTTGACCTATCCCCGCGGCGGCGCTACTTCTCTTCTCCCCTCGTTCCTCCAGCCTGCCTCGGCCGCCAACCCTCCTCCGTCCTTTTCCTTCTTCGCGCCCGCCACTCCCGCCGCGTCCACCAACAAGCTCGCTGCCTGGCTGCACGCCACCATGCTTGTCACTGCGCTGGCCAACTTGGTGTACATTGGACCCAAGACAACCGAGATCATGGGCATCAGGAAGCACCAGGAAACTCGGGATGGCAAGAAGAGCTACGACAATGGGCCCCATAGCAAGGAGATGCAGGCGCTCAACAAGCAGTTTGCTATCCTGCACGGTGTCAGCACCATTTCCAACCTGATTGGACTTGGCGCCATGATTTGGTATGGTGCTGTTCTTGCGGATGGACTGAGCTTGTAAGATGTTGAACATCGGATTATGTTTATGTGATATGGTGCGATATGGAGACGTTTTTGACTCGCAATGCATAAATGAGGTATGGTGTATGAATGAGTAGAGAGAAAGGACGAAGAAACGAAGAGACGATTGAGGACGACGATTGGAAGAAGGCTGTTGTAAATCCGCTATTGACGAACATGTATATACGTGTACATTTCATAAATCTCAACGTATACCGTGCTACGTCTAGGTGAGATATGCTTCCGTGTATGTATAAACACGAATGCCAACGTCAGATTTCAGTAATTCTCCAAAACTACGTGTTAGAATATGAATGGTCTCTTGGCCTATACGTGAACAAATATATACAAGAAAACAACCCCGAAAGCTGTACAGCACTGAGGATACCTGTGTCCATTTGAGCCACCCGTGACTCTACATATCCTCCGTCACTCACCCAGAGCGACTCATGGCTGAGACCACAACATACTCAATTCGCTTCCGCCGCAGGTGCACTGTTGCGATGTGCATCAGCTACATTAAGAGTCCTCTGAATCCGCCTCTCAAGCTCATCCTCATCCTCATCCTCAACCTGGCCATGCATCGCTCGTATAAACTGAGCGACACCATCACGTCCCACCTCGACCTTGCCTCTAGGGCCGACGATATAATCGACTGTCTCGTCACCTGCGCCCGAAGTTTCCTTGACACGCACAATGTACCCGTCTTTAACCATGGCAGCTATTGCTTTGTCTTTACTACCCACGGGCGTGGTTTGCTCTGCATTCATGCGCCTGAGAGCGCGGTCGAGCTTGCCTTCTGGCATCATGCCCCCGGAAATGGTAATGAGAGCGATAGTTAGAGTGTACAAGCCAACGTAGGCGTCTTCCTTGTTTGGCATACCCTGTTCAAGTGGCCGTGATGGACCCACAATCTCAGGTATGCGGTACTGGCTGGGTAAAATGCTCTGCAAGACCCATACGCTGGTTGACTTTGACTGGGAATCCGATGCTAGAGATGCGGCTGCTGCTGCTGTAAAGGTAGGTCAGACAAAGATAAGCGATGCTCTAGGCGTGACTATAATGCATACCGCGCTTTTGCCGCAGTGTTACTCGTTCGGCCTTTGGTAGTTCGACTAATTGCATTCCAAACACGTCCATGAGCTGGCTGTTGGCTTCCGCAAAGACTTGTTTGAACAGCCGGGTTTGAGCACCAAGCACTGTTGCTGTTAGCATGAGTCGTAGACACGATAACAACAGCAATCAGGCAGTGCAAGTGCAGACCTTTTTCGTTAATGTCTTGCCGCTTAATGGGCCGACGTGAATGCTCACACGACAAGGCGTATCGGACTAGGCCTTTGGCCAGGTGCTGCACACCTTCAATGCCCGCGCCGCCATCTCCGTCAAGATCGTCAGGAACCTCTGCCACTTCCATCATGTCGTCCGCGTCCTCTAGCCTGGCCCTCCGAGAAGCCATTTTGTGCAGTTGAACACGTGCGTTAGTTGCTGGCGTATTAAAGGAAGGTCAGACATTGGCGTCGGCCCTCAAGCCCCCCCGGCTGTAGGGCTGAATGCACGAGGCAAGGCGCATCATCGAGCCGAACCATGCATGGCCCAAGCGCGCCGCGGTGTTTGCAAGTCTTGGCGCGCATACGTCGGTGGATGCCACTGCATAGACGGTCACTCTATGCACTCATGCACCCATTCATACACCCACCATGAGCGCCATCCGATCCGCTGCGAGACGTCCCGTCTTCCGCTGTCTCAATGCCCCGGCGCCACTTCGATGTCGCCCCCAGGCCCGGTATAACTCGCGCTCTCACAGGTCAGACCTGGAAGCTGTGCTCAAGCAGAATGCTCCTCCCAAAGGCCCCCGCATAGATGAGGACTTTGTCTCGATACACCGCGCAGAGGCCATTCGCCGTGCTGCTTATGTGCGCAGGCGCAATTGGCTGGCGCTCGGTGCGGCTCTGTCCATGATTGCTCCCATCTTCCTTGTGCGCTTGTGGGATGTGCAACCAGTTGATGGCGACAAGGACGGAAGCTCAAGTCGATCCGCAGCAGACCTAATACTGGGACCTCCCACCAAAACAGATGCCCCTAAGAAGGCATCTGATGAGTTTCAAGGCAAAAAGGTTGTCATAGCAGCGGGTGACAAAGTCATTGCTGCACCCGCCGACGCAGAGAACCCCCAACCATCACATCCAGACGCCATTGAGCTCGTTGAGACTGGTACATCCTATGTTCCTTACTTTCCTCGTACAATCCGCTTGCCTACCGACACCGCGGGCCCCGAACATGTCGAGAGTGACGCCGAATACACGCTGCTGGGTCTGGGGATCAGAAAGGTCTCGTTTCTACGTGTCCAAGTCTATGTCGTTGGACTGTACGTCAAGACAGCCGACCTATCCACCCTCCAAAACCATCTCATCAACACTGTCAACCCCACCGCCTCAGCCCTGATTCCAGACGAGAAGAAAGCCCTCCGTGATTCCCTTCTCGACGCAGAGAAGAGCAACAAGATCTGGGAAGCCATTCTGGACAGCCGCGGCACAAGCGGCGTCGACATGGCATTCCGCGTTGTACCCTGCCGAGGCACAGATTTCAAGCATCTCCAAGACGGCTGGATGCGTGGTATTGCATCGCGGACCGACGAGGTGCGTCGCAAGCAGGCCGATTTACTCAGGCAGCAGGCTGCCGAGAACAAGACCATCGCTCTCCCTAAGCCAGTTGAAGAAGGCGAGTTCCAAGACGAGGCGTTCGGCCTTGCTATGAAGGAGTTCAGGAATATATTCCAGGGCAAGGGTAAGGCGCCGAAGGGTAGCGTTATCATCTTGACACGGAACAAGAATGGGACGCTTGGTGCGTTGTATCAGCCTATAGTCAAGGTTGAGAAGAAGGAGAAGATGGGTACGCCCACGTGGCTGGGCAAAGTTGACGATGAGAGGGTAGGTCGTCTTGTTTGGCTGCTGTATCTTGGGGGTCAGAATGTTAGCTCTGAGGATGCGAGGAAGAGTATTGTGGATGGGTGTTTGGACATTGTTGAGCGGCCGGTTGGGACGCTGGAGACTATGGTGCATTAGAGGTTAGATTCTTGTGTATGAACAGAATATGTGTATGATATGGCAATGAGTTGGTTCGCCCATGTATATTGACGGGTAAGTTGTCTAGCTATGGCGAAGTTGATGTGCCTTTTTACGAGGCTTAAGCAGGAGGTGATGACTTATGTTGTGATGTTCAACATCACATACTACGATTACGAATAGTACATCTCACCTCGCATGTACATCATTGTACTCCTGCAACATGCTATAACCAACATCACTCATACTTTCCACACTCACCATTCCAATTTCAACTCCCCTCATATCCCCTAACTAAACGCTACCCCTACCCCCCCCCTTCACATCATGCCCTCGCATCGCACCCACCCATCAATGACTTCATCGCCCCACCCATCAAGCCTCCCCCACTAATTTAGCTCCCGTCCCCCCATCCCACCCTCTTATGATGTCAGTATCCTCCCCCCCCCCCTCGAGGATCACCTTCTTGCCAATCAATCGCACATACTTGTCGATGTCGCCGAGAACGCCCGGGTAGATGTACGTAGTGATGCTCCGCGGGTATGCCTGCGTGTGGAAGTGATAAGCTTTTGGTTAAGAAGGCGCGGCATGGGGATGCGCGGTTGGGAGCAGGAGTGTGAGTGGGTGTTGCGATGGGTGTATGTATGTGTGTGTGTGTGTGGATTTTTTGCAAGGGCGATGACGGAGTTCAGGAAGGGGTTTGGGCCGTAGTTGTAGTTTTTTATCTTTCTCTGGATAAAACTACGTAGGAGTCGGGTGATATTTCTTTTTTTTCTTCCAGGATTTTTTTTTTTGGCATCTACACCTGCTGAGTAAACCAGCGGAGTAATATCGAGTTTTATTCTTAACTTGTATCGAGGACCGTGAAGTCGGACTTCAGCACTACCCACGAGGAACATCGCACACTCTGAATAAGGGTAAACATGGCAGTCATTTGGGGTCTCGACCTCCACGAGATACAATGGGCGAAATTCAAATCGGGCAATATGTGGAATTCACGGTATCACGGCCGGCGCACCAGGTTTATTGTGTATCAACTCGCGATGATATTCACGGTTGTGAGCGAGTCGCTGGGAACGGCGGCATTATCTGGTACTTCCCCCTCTCCCTTTACACGGCCTTCTTCTGGGGTCTAACAAGTAGACAGATTACACTACCCAGCAACGATACGTCGCGCATCTCAACCCGAATGCGACGGTACACAACAACGACTTCGTAGGTATAGCTTCCTACAACATCTTCGTCGGGATTTTCGTCGCTACGATATTCGGTGCGGCGTTCTTCTTCGATCTGTTTTGGCCTGAGCGGCGCGAGTCTGCCGCAGTGAAAATGGCGTGGAGGGTTTGCTCCGTGCTAGCGTGCGCGTTTACGCTGTCGTGCGCATTGGCGTATACGTATGTTGTGGCTGCGAAGAGCGCGTATGTTACGGGTGCGAGTCTGACCGAGGCACGGAGATTGCTGGATGCGTATGGCGGGAGTCCAATGGTGTATCGGCGGAATGGAAGGGCGGTGGCGAGTGTGGTGTTGCTTTGGGTGGGGATGGTGTTTACGTTTTGGAGGTAAGTTTACTCCACTTCTGACAAGAGGCTTTTTTCGGGAGGGGTGTAAGAGGATGCGGCTGACGGTGCGTAGTACGTATCTACTCTGGCATTCAATTGCTCATATTGATGCTTTTGGGCCTATGTCTACGCATGCCAGGAATGAGAAAGTGGAGGATGGTGTTGAAAGAGATGGAGATGTGGAAGTTGCAAGGCCAGCACAGGCGCATATGGCACATGATAGTGCGGTGTAGATGGGTGAGGAACGTGTTTTGGGTGTCTCTAATCTACCGCGAAGCACTGCGGTACACGAACAGCACTGTTGCGGTGTAGAAATGGCTTGGAAAGGGTGGGAAGAAGATTTCGACATCAGAAACAGCGTCGTAATCTTGTTTCGAGCAGTGAGCATTCGAGCAATGAGCGTTGCTAAAGTTATCTTGATACCCAATGGTAGTTTTTAATAAAGTAATTCCCAAGTGCCTTTTGCAAAGCTTACCACTGCCATTTACTCGAGTCCCCTTGTGTTGATTGAACATACGAAGAGCTCAGACTGACTCATGGTCGAAATACACGATCAAGACCAGTTCTGAAATTGTTCTTCATACTTCTCAGTGATTGGGCACGCGAAGAAAGAAGGTCAAAATGAATTTATGTGCGTTGTTGGGGCAAGGGGTTGGAAATTTGTTATTTGCAAAATTGAGTGATAGAAAGACTCAGGGGAGCGGTGCAGATGTTGAGAGATAGGAATGAGAAGCAACGAGTAGTCTATTCATTGACTACCTACTACTGCTTCTTCTTTGTTTTTTCTTATTCTCTAGTCATCACACCTACTCTATGATTTGATTGATTACCAAGCTGCTCTATGCTGGTAGCAATCCACATGAGGGTCAGATTTGAAAAGGAATATAGATGCTGAGAAAGCTAGTATGAGTTGAAAAGATAAACGGTGAAAGGTATGATGAACGATTGGACGGTGAAAAAGTGCTTCTTTGCAGATAGAGTAGAGTGGTAAAGACGTAATACCTCGCGTCAACTCCACATGCATGCAGTTCCCATTCAGCCATTTCCGCCCAACACAGCCACAGACGTAAACGGTAAGAGAACCATGGCAGTAGCGAGGAAATGCTTGCTTCTCTGCAGCAACAGTCGCAAGTGGCGGAGGCAGGGACAGCACACCTACGTATGTAAGGGTCCCCAATCGTGCGTTTCCCCTCCAAAAGCAAACGACACCCACCCACCACGTGGAAGGCTGCAGAGAAGAAGAAAGGAACAAGAAAAACAGGGTAAAGCGAACATCACGCCATACCCGCATGTCAGATAAGCGATTAATCTACATAGATATAAGCATGATTACTGAACCCCAATCCTTTTCTTCTTCTCACCCAACATCCCATCCCACACAGAATCCTTCGTGAAAAAAAAGAGATCCCACACACACCTCACACGGCAAAAGTAAAGTAAAACCCCGGGAACTCAGCGTATGTGTGTGCATACCAAACCTGGTTCCCACACACACGCATACCCGCCACACACATAAAAGACGGAACCTGAGACAAAGGGGGGGAAGTGGAAGAGCGGAAGGCGGTGGCGCAGTAACAGACACACCGGAGCAAGCAAGCAACACAACACACCGGAGCTCCGTCCAAAAACGGAAAAACAAAAGACAGCCGGAAACCCCCAACAACAAGGGACACACGAGTAACAAGGGGGGGGGACACTCACTCACGTCAACAAGGATGTCAAGAACGGGAAGTCTTTAAAAAAAGGGTTTAAAAAAAGAAGATGACGATGAACCAAAAATAAAGACCGGACGA